AAATAGTGAGTCAGAATGAACTCTTTTAAATCAATGCAGTTCTTTTGAAGAACACAATGTTCCCTGAGCAGTACCAGACCCCTAGGCATTTGCTGCTTGCCTACAAGACTTACTGGGCTATCACTGGGAGGAGGTCCTGCGCACCTCTAACACTCTGTGGTCTGCGTATCTCCAAAGGAGATGTGCAACTCTTGTGTTGTCTGCTTTACTCCTTGAGTCTTCTGGGGAATAGCTACATTACTGCTTGTTCCAGCACGCTGCAAGTGACAGAAAAGGTCCAAGTGTCATTCCTCTGTGTCCCTCTTGACTGCTTTGCCTCTCATCTTGATCTGTAGCAGTACCTCCACCACCTCCAGCTGAATGTTTCCTCAGGAAGCTATTAGTTTATCCTCAGTATCTGTCTGCTGCCTTCGTGTCAGAGGGCACATAATACTAAAGATTTTCCCAGAGATAAGACCGCCCCAGCTGAGAAAAATGTATCTGATCCCACTGTGCTTTTTGCCTTCTTGCAATTGCTCAGGGAGTATCAGCGTATGTCAGCCTTCAGTGTGCACATCATCTGCTCTGACATCTCATTCTGTAGGGTGTTGGGCTTCTTGGAAGAGACCCACTCTGCTTAGATGCTGCCCTCAGCTCTTACTAAGTTTGCCTGTTCTGAGAAGGATGTGTGTTTTCCAGCAGTGGGCAAGATGAAAGTCAAGGGCTCATCCCATTGCCACTTCCTCCTTCAGTTTGAGATCTCTGCTCAGATTGTAAAGGTTATGAAAGTAAGAGGTTAATTCACTTTGACTGTTTTCTGGCTTTATGAGGTTCCTACTAACTGGGGCCAGTTAAAATGTGGGGTGTGAGCTTGAATTCAAGCTCACCAAGAGCTTGAATTCTGTATGCTTTGTTTTGGAATATTAACTTGGGGGTGTATGTATTCTATTTTTGAAATCTATCATTATCTAAATATTATTTAGTAGTCAACAGTGTCAGTAATCTGCTAAGAGCATCCTGCATTAATTTTTCATCTGACAGAGCAAAAAGAATCTTCTGAATTTTTAACTGTTGGCAGAAGTTTTGTAGATATGGCCTTAAATTGTCCTAAATTCTACTTTCTTGAATCATTAAAGCTTTTCTTTCTCATTTTTCATCAATCTTACTGAGGAATGCTGAATAATCAGAACAGAGCAAAGATAAGATTACCTTCTGGTCCGCCTGATTTGTTTTGATAAGAACTTTTGAGAAAATCTTTCTGCTGTCAAAACGATGTCCTTGCATCACCTGCTTAAAGCAAACACGATCTGAAAATTCATAGAACTTTATCTCCAATTTACAGCGCATACATCAGGATACCCAGAAAAGGTAGATAAATAATGTTCTATTGTCTTGATTATAGCTGAAAAATCACTTTCAGGAAGCTGGGAGTAGTCAGAGGTCACTTCTGAAGTCAGATCAAGACTTGGGGCGTTCCTATGTCTCCTATGTGAGATGGTACCGCTTCTCTATTCTACCATGCCTCTTCCCTATTGTTTCCATTGCTGTACCTGTCACTGAACCCTAGGCATTTCATATTGGAGTCCTCAGTGAACAGACTTATAAGAAGCCACATTTTTTCATTAGACAGCATATATCCTCAGTTAAAGACTGCCTGTTTATTCCATGCCTTCTTCTTGAGTAATGTGTGTTAAGGGCCGAGGACTGCTAACTGTCCCTAGATTTAATGTGCCATGAGAATCATCCCTGGAATAATACTTATGGGGTTAGACACTGACATTTGCCTCCTTTGGTCTGACAGGGCAAGAGATTATGGCTCCTTCTCATGTCCATGAGTACCCTGTATAGTTATTATGCCAGGTTTTTTGCTTTCTTTTGTTTTGTTTTCCTATTGAAATCTCATAATCCCATTTGGTGTTGCATCACAGCTGAAAAGGAGTGAGTATGTGTGCATGTGTGCACGGTGGTGGCCATAATGCTTGTGCAGGACTCCTAAGAGGAAAAGCTGTTTTGGCCAGGTTGGAAAGGTGACGCCTCTGCTGGTAGAGCTCTTAAAGAGATGAAATTGACTTTCTTTTTTTCATTTCTTTCTGCCAAGCTCTTGTGCCAGCTGTCAACATGTTTGACCTTCACATGCCACAGTAAAAAATGAGTGTATCAGAACACACTGTCCAAAATCCTCAAATGTCCTTACAGCAAAGACTTCTCCCGTGCAAGCACTGGTAATAATACACGAGGTTTTTCTCTGTGGAGCCTAACCCTTTTTTCATTCATTGGCAAGTTTGCAACAGCAAAATGTGCTCTTTTGACCACAAAATCTATTACTGCAAATTCCCTTCTTCCTGGCCTCTTGAGAGGGTTGCTTTCTTGCTTGTGGCACATGCAGAATGTAATGGCATATTGCTGTCATTAGAATTACTCTGATTAGGTCATTCTCACCTTGCTGAAAAAGAAGGGGGGATTTGTTGTTAGTTAACACAGTTTGAGATTTCATGCTCGTGACTGTCTCGTTCCTCTGCCACTAGGCAGGTGATCTGTCATCCTGCTTTCCCCTTCCAGTGTCCCAGCGCTGTTCTTCGGCAGAGAACATTGAAGAGCAGGACTTCCCCATCCTCACAGTCATCTGTTCTTCTAATTCTAAAGCCTGTCTTCTTGTTGCTTTCTTCTGTTTCCTACATTTTGCTCCTTACTGCTTACACTGGACCTGCAATTTTCTGTACTTCTGCTTCAACACAATGTCTTTTGAATGTCTGCTGATGAGTGCTGTTCCTCCTGCATAAGCCTGTGCTCTCTGTGCCGCTGGTCAGTTATCCAGTGACAAACATTGCCTAAAAACATAATTGGTGCCACAGACTCTGGGTGAAAGGGGCACAGCCAGAAGGACAAGATGTTGATCCCTCTAAAGGGAGAGCAATTTCGTATCCAGAAAGAGCTACAGAAATGCAAAGCCAGGCAGAGAATCGTGTGATGAAAGTTCACAAGCCAGCACTTATCTTCCTGATCTACATAGAAGCCTGTTTTTTTCTCAACTGATTTACAAACAAATAAGAAAAGCACACCTCAAACAGGCTAAAGGACTGCAAGCAAAGCACATGGAATGAAATTCAGAAATAACAACACAAAGGAAATTAGAAAGAGAGATCCTTTTTTCTTAGTTTGTTAGTTATTAAAAAGAGGATTATACCCTAAGCTGCAAGTCAGTGGTGACTACTATTAACTAGTAGAGTTTGTCACTGGAGCTAATGGCTTGGCTTGGGAGTGTTTCTGTGGCCTGTGGGCATTTTAATAGCAGGCCTGTGGCGAGGACTTGCAGTGAGCACTGACAGGGATTTTGCAGCTTGATGGCTTCGTGTCATCTGGAATTTGTTCTTGATTACAGCTCGCATCACAGGCAGCACAGGTAATGAATGAGAAGATTCATTTTCCATCCATATCCAAATCTTTATTGCTTTTACAGCTTCTGGTCTCCACTAAACTTGGTACAGGGCTTGGGAAGGTATTTTCTGCTTATAAATCATCTACTGAGTTTTTCCTGAAGATCTTTCTCAGCCTTGTGCCATCTGTGTACATTGCAGCTCTTTTAGAGAAATCTTTACACCAAACTTCTGCTGTATCTGGACAAAGTTGTGCACAGCCACGAAGCAGAAATCTTGGTTTTTTTCTTTTGCTCAAGTTGTCAAAATGGACAGCTGGGGATGCTACAGAAAAAGGGATTTCTACTAGAAGTTTTGCAGCTATGAGAACTGGTAACATGCCCACAGCCACTGCAAGTGGAAATCGCCTGCTAGGCTGGCAGAAACCTCCTGGGCTCCTGGGATGAAGAACACAAACAGGATATCATGGTGGCTAAAAAAAGAGCTGCTGTTCCTCACGTTCATGTCTAGGATCTCTGCTTACATTGACCATAGTTCTCACACCTGTAAACACATACATCTTCCTGCTAAAATAAATTTAGGACTGTCTTGCCGAAAAGAGAGAAGATTAAAATTCTTGATGGCTTGAACTGGACCTTGCCACTGAAGTCAAGAGCTAGTTAACTTTATGTTTGCAAGGAATGCCATAAAATCAAAGAACAACTGTGTATGCTGCTCCCACCATACAGCTACTGAGAAATACTACTTGAATGAAGGAAGCGCAGAAGGCTACTTCATGCAGGTGATTATATATACAACATAGGCTGAAATGGTTTTCTTGTAGTACACACAGACAATAAGAGAACAACAAACACAGCTCCACACTTTCCAGCTTTGGCTCTTATTTGTGCCACTGTTCTCAGCAAGGTTCTTTTGCATCTACATTAGCCGTAGTTCCCAGTTTCTCCCTTTCTAATAATCTAAGAGACAAGATGACAGAACAGATTAGAAAAATGCCTATAAATAATGCCGTACATAAAGTGGCATTTACCCACTGAGTCTTAAATCTCTTTCCCTGATTTGGTTCTATTTTTAAAAACTTCATCTTACTTGACACTGACAATGATTCATATAAATATTAAGTATTCATTTTTAGTCCATTGCACATAAGTGAAGCTAAACTGTAATGTTCTTTGGAGTTTTACCCTGCAGGTCTTTCCTTAGGTCTGGGAAATGGGACAGGCAGATTCCTTTACAGAATACTTTGCAATGTGGCTTTATGGCCATACATTAAATGGGGTAAATGTGGTGGTTTTAAAGTGTTCAACGATGTTCACATTTCAAAATCTTTTATTCTTATTTTGTTTTTCTTCTTCAGGGTATAAAAATAAGGTGTTACACTGAATTAAATCCTAAATCCAAACGCTGTGGATTAAAACATCATTTCTTATTTATTCCTCTTTTTGGTGCCGTGGTTACGTACAACAATTCTTACGATTGCATTTATTCTTTTGCTATATCTTGTTTTAATTAAATCATTTTTTAAGATGTTTTATTGTGCCAATGTTTTGCTCTTTTGACTGCACAACAAAGCTACTGAAGCACCGATTTGTTTTTCTGATATTTGTCACTTTTGAATTCTATCCCAATTGTTTCTATTATAGCAGGAGAAGATTTGATAAAGTGTTGCAAAACTGAAGAACTGCCTCTGCTTCATGAGAGCACTTTCCAAGACTCCTATACAAGGTAAGTTACAGTAGGAAGAGACTTAACAATCTACCTTTCATTGTTTCCACTAAGATTTTGGACTGGTTTTGTGTGTATCTTGAAGGCAGTGAATGTAATAGCAGGAATGCTTATTGATCACTTATTTCCATGTTATTTGTTTATGCCAGACCTAAGGCGTATGTGCTGTAAAAGGCACTAACCTTGCAAAGACTGGTTCCAGTGCTTTTCCAAGTTAAGCTTATCCTGGCAGTATTTTAATTGAGATTGCTTTTCTTCAATGCACTTTGAAACATTCAAAAGTAATAAAATGCGAAAGATCAATATCAGTTTAAATGAAAAGAATGTTTATGTTAAAATATTGATGAAAACGCAGCCTTCTGAGATTTTGAGAATACTTGTATTTACATGGCATGACTGCAAGGTGACTGATAGCCCTGGGAAATACAGGTCTGTTCAGAACAAATTATGCAATGTGTCCTTACGCTCACTTGGGAGCTCGCATTCCAGCGTGGCAGAACTGCCTTGGCTCTGGGTAACAAGAGTCCTCTCTATGTCCATTGAGATGATACTTTTTTGTGCATTTTGTACCATCCTTCTCCATAGAGACTGTGCAGAGACCCCTAAAGCTCACTGTGGAGCCACCTGATGACATTTGGTCACTTCGTAACAGGCGCTAACTCTGAACTAGCGAGAAATTGAATATAAAGAGCCACAAAACTTAAGCTGAGCGGTCTCCAGCAACATTACTACCTGTATCTATTATCTGCTGTTAACCTTGCTGAAATCAGCATAGAATATATAGAATTATCACGAGACAGCTTCTTAGTTCCATCTTTCTGGGAAATGCTGCTCTGTCACGTACCCACCGTATTATTTTGTGAATTCCTCAAGCTGTACAAGCTACCAATTTCACTGTCTGGATGATGTAGTTTTCTAAGTCAGGAAGTCTCTTGAGCAGAGACGGATGAAAATATGAAACCCCGCAGTTATAGAAATTTACTGAACTTTAAATTTCATATTCCTAGAAAAAAAAAAAAACAAAACAAACAAAAAAAAACCCTCCATAAACCCTCCATAGCCTCTGGATTACTCTGTAAGGGAAACTTGCACACAGACTGGTATCCTAGTGTTTTCAGCACATTTCTGAAAGCAGCTTATATTCTGTATGTAGTTGGCGTGCCCAAGTACATTTAAAGGACTGTGCCTGTTAGTGACAAAAAGTTGTCAGCATTAATGAGACTGGGATAGAAGGTAGCTATTAGCAGTACTAAGGTAATTTTGGGCACATGCAGAAGCAGTACTGTAGGCAACTGTAAGTTTTAATATGCATCTGAAAAAAATAAGTCTGCAGGGCTTGTGCTTGGAGAATTGTAAATTAGAACTCACATGGCTACATCCTTTCACAAGTATGGCTTTGGAAGTAAGGATGCAGGAACTAAGTGCTAAGTCCCCATGATGCAGGAGGGATGAGGGTGCCACCCCCTGCTGTCCTTGCACTGGTTGGTACATCTCATATGCACACTGTACTCTGAGAAGGATCCTAGCTTTAGGTGTTCTCCCCCACTAGTCCAGGTTCGTTTGGGAAACTATCTAAGCATAGTACAAAATCCTTCCACATATGGTTATTGATAACTTGGTGTTTTTATGGCAATAGCATCTTGAGGTCTCAGTGGAAATTAGAAGCCTATTGTGCTAGTTACTGCAACGCATGCATTGTAAGGGGAAGCCAAAGAATGCAAGTAACCCAGGAAAAGTTCTCCTATTTTAAAAATGACGTACTAAGACTCAATATCTTGTGAAGTAAAGTTCATAGAAGGTGAGGTGGGCTGAGACATAACCAAATGATGTGGATTAATGAGCTAATACCAAGTGCTGTTTGTGTGTTTGTGCCTCACTGCAAATGTTCCTCCACTGAGCTACATGAGTGAGGCCTTCCCTCGTACAGCCGGTGTGCTGTAAATGCTAGCCAAAACCCCAGAGTGGTTTCTTCAGAACTAACAGGCACAATCACACAGGGCACATACATAATGACTTTAGTTAGAACTGCTAACAAATGCTCTCTTGATAATCTGCATTAATTCAATTGCTTGCAATCATCTCAATCATCTGTCCAAATCTCTGTTGTTTTTTTTTTTTCTTTTAATTTGCTTTCTAATAAACTCACACCATGTAGCTCTGTGTATATTTCTGTTTAAATGAGATCTTGAAAGTGCAGTGTGTGGGCAGGTCTGCATGAGCACCAAAGATGCCCTATCAGAACAAAGGTTTACCCTGTTGTCCTATCCCAGATATCTTTTGAAGACAGTCAGTGTGCTGGTTAGGAGTTATGATAGCTGACGATTATATACGTGTGAAGGTAAATATGTGCTTTGGAGTTGAAGACATGATAGAAATGCTCCCGAAATTCAAACATTTGCTTTCAGTCTGTGTCACACTGACACAAAGTAAAATGGGCTTTTCTTAGTGAAGCAGGTTCTCCAAAAGATGTTTTTTTTTTTCTTCTTTGCAACAGCAAATGCACTTTTGCAGTATTGATTTCCTGCTGCATAGACATAACTAACATTTTAGGAGATCTATACATGATTAAAATTTACCTTAGGTCTTTTAATAAAATCACTAGCACCTTTGGGACTCCTTGGCAGGATGAACACTGAACTCTTATCAGCTGAACGCATGATTTCAGCATTGCTTAAGCAATGTTTGGATAAAAGTTAGCTGCTACCTCCCTTTCCTCTCAGACAACAACAACAAAAACAAGAGCAATTGACTCAATCTGGTAATGGTTGAGTTGTAGTATAGTTAGGTTGTTAGGTTTGTCCTGACAAGTGCTCTACCGAAAGAACTTGAGTTAAAATAGTTCTGCAGTATGCAGGACACGTTGCCAAGAAGTGCTAAGATGTATTGTCACTAGGTTTCTTGCAAAACTCCACACTACGAGCAACGGGGAGATCCGTGCTAAGAAAAGAAAGCGGAACAGCACAATGTGGCCGATATGTTGTTTTGTTTTTGGAGTAGAGATCAAAGCCTGCTGTGAAGATGAGTCCTTTTGCCTTCAGTGTTGAGGCAATTTCACAACTGTCCTTGTCCTGAAAAGTTTTGGCAGAGACAAGGGTCTCTGGCTGGATCCCATTAACATCAGTGGTAGCTGTGTTCATGTCCCCACACATTGGGGTTGGATTTGGCTGAAGGTCTCTTAGCTCCTCATTTGTGTCCTTCTCTGCTATAGACATGACCTCCAATCCACTGGAGGTTGTAGGTGCTCAGCATTTTTAGAGATTTCTCCTTATACATTTTCCTGAAGTCTGTTATAAATTCAGAACGTTCTGACTGAAGTTTTTCATTTAATTTGTGACCAGACAAATCACAACACTGGCCTCCACCATTCATACCTGTCAATTGCTCTGGCATAATGAAGACAGTGCAAGAATCCAAGGTGAAAAACAGAATAGGGTTAATGGAATGAGTTTTTCAAAGTGAAATCTGCAGCTGAATTTCTGATGCATGTGAAATAATAAGCAACCTGATCTGACTAGATCTTTCTGTATTTAACTGGGGTAATAAAGGTAATGCTTCAGAGGGCAAAGATGGACAGGATTAGGGATTCTGCTGCAGTAGAACGAGCTGTTATTCTGTTGGTGTATTTCTGTGCAGGTTTTGGTGTGTGCGTGCATGTGTGTGTGAATGCTGAGTAGATGATACAGGAAACTGAGTAAAGAAGATGTATTCAGTTTGGTTGTGCAGACCAAAATGCCTGACGTAGCTCATATTTGTCTCTGGGAAATCCTAAGACTCAGTAGGACTACGCTTTGCCTTTTGTTATTTAAAAGCAAGCAATCCATCTCCCTTCTTTTTAAAAGGGGCATTCTTTCCCAGGTTTTCAAATAAGAATGCAGTTGGATATTTTAAACTGTTTCTCATTGTCAAGACACCACGATGGTCTCCACTGAGCTTTTCCTCAATGTAAATCTAGCAGTGCTGAGGTTTGCAGCTGCTTCTGAAGTATCAACATAATTACATAAGTGCATGCCAGCAGCCGGTGCCTGTGCTGGTGGATCATGTGCAGCACACACATTGCTGGCTGTCCGCAGCGCACTGAAAGCAGAGATTTATTGCATTTACAAAGAGCCATTACAGTGCAATTTTAACTTACTGTCATTAAAGGGTCTTACATCATAAGCAATCGCTGTAAAAAGCCTCGGACTGAGATTTATTCTTCATTTTTATAGCATGATTTATTAGAGCCCCCATTATATCTTATAATTCATATCTGAAGGAAATAAAAATCAATTAGGACCTGGCCCTTTCACCTTTACCCGTGCTGGGTAGTGCCTTGAGCTCAGCCTGAAGGAAACGGGGACATTCCTGGAGTAAGGGATTGCTATGAGACGAAGACTACAGACAGCCAAATCTGGGTCCTTACTGAGCACAGGAGAGAAATGCACAAATTATCTGAGAAATGACAGCGCTTTGTTGATCTTCTGGGGAGAGGGGGTGGTTCTCCATAGCTTGAGAGATACTGTTGATTTCATGCGATCCTAGCACTGTACCTCCTGGGTACCATTTGGAGTGAATCACATATTTATATAACGCAGCATTCAGCAGAGAAAACCCAGTCAGCCTTCTAATACTGTTCTTTCCTCAGATCAAATTCAGCATATAGCATCTAAGCTAATTGCAATACAGTTGCAAAGATCTCAAAATGGCTGTTCTGTTAGTGTGATTCCACAAGAATGCACTGAAATTTCTTTAAATCAAGCCTATACAAAATGGAAACTCAGCTTTGCCATCTGTATTTGCATGAGAAAGGATTACTTACTTGATTATCAATTAGGGCTCAATTTTTCAATCTGAATACCCCTCTTGCCCTTCTTATTATGAAATACAGCACTTGGATATGATTTGATTGAGTATTAATTGAAGTCATGTGGCTTGAATGGGGATGTATTCTATAGCCCTTTGCAGTGAAAAATGCCATTAAGATTATGAAGAGCTCTGTCGATATCAGAGCTCAGTGTTTAGATGCAATGTGCTAAAGATTCTCAGGACTTTAAATGATTATGAAAATACATATTTAAATACGTACATTCCTAATAAATTGCTAACATCTATCACACCTCAGTGCTCTGGAATGGAAATACGCAATCCATTTATTAAAAAGGCAGTACGCTGCAATTAATCTGTTATCTTGAACCACACTGCAGGAAGATGCAGTTCTATCCTTGAAGCTGCTGGAAATGCTGGCACTGAATTTCAGCAACAGTAAGGCTGCTCCCTCTCTGCTGATTTGCTACCATCTCTCCTTATGTTAAAAGAAAGGCAGTATGTATAGACTGTACTGAAGTAGTACCATAAATATACACAGATCAGTCACGTATTTTAAAAAAGCTAAAAAGATGAGTATCACTCAATGCTAGACCATACAAAATAAGGAAAAACAAATTAGGAAAATAATTTTCCTAGGCATAGTCTAATGCATCACATTTTTGTGAGCTGTTCTAAAATAGAAATATTATAAATGATCCAGAGATCTTTTTATCCTTTGACTCGTGATGCACCAACACAGAATACAGTATTTTGTTGCCTTTCATTCCTAACCAAAACCAAAACAGCAAATGTCAGGAGAAGGGCAAGGAAAATAACTGAAGACACATTGGGATGGATTAAAGACAGAAGAGCCCAAATACCATCCTGAAACCGGTCGCTGAATTCGCATCCATTTCAGTGGCACCGAGGTTACATTTCTAGAAGTATTTTGGGATTGTTTAGTTCTGAAGTCCTTCCTCATATGGAAGTCCCACTCAGCACTGTGGGAGGTGGTGGTGATAGGAAGGCATATATATGTGTATGCATATGATTGTATGATCCATGCAATCTTAGCCTTGGCTAAATCGAGTAAATTTTGTAACCTAGAAACATTATAATTAAGTAAGATTTAAAAAAATATTATGAAAATGGCAACAGATGCCGTTCTTTTTTAAGGTTTCAAAATAATAGAAATGAAATTGGAAATGGGCAAATGGATTTGAAAACAACCCTTCCATGAATTAGAACTGCTAAGCATGCACTACGCAGCCAGAAATTTGTCAGGTGGATAACATCATCCCTCTAATCTCCCTGTGAGGTTGTGACTTCAAAGACTGTCAGACTTTGCGGGCAGACATCACATCTTCCTTTCTGAACAACTTGAACCAATGAAGTCATGATTCTGCACAGCTGCCACGATCAGTTTCTTTCTTCTTGGCGGTGGCTTTACAATTTATTACTTCTGAAGCCAGAGGAACAATTCACAGGAGTTATTTGTGAGTGTGCTTGTTCCCACCTTGGCTAACTCAGCGGGGACAGAGCCTGGGAGGTGGCCAATGCTTTCCAGCTGGGATGGCAGAGGCTGCTTTGGACAGCATGCAGAGGAGCCAATACCCGGCTTCCTCATGGGTTATGTAAGGATCTGTAGTAGCTTTCCCCTCGATGGGAGAAAATAGGAACAAGATGGGATTTTAGGAGCTGTGTTAATAATGAATGACAGAATGGTGGTTAATAGATGTCTATCTGTAATTCCATTATACTACAAGCGCAGGGGAAACTTCATTTTATGCAGGATTCTCATTTTTGCAGAGCTGTAATGCAGCGTGCAGTTAAAATTAGGCTGTCTGGTTAATTGTCAGTGTGCAGTGAGAATCGCTTCAGTGCAGGATTAGACATGCCTCTGCAGGGAAGCTTTGCAGAAGGGCCCAGGGAGGGACAGCAGCTCCACCGGGGCCCCTTGGAAGAACCCCCCTAGGAGAGGGGTGCCTGTGGGGAGGGGAGGTGGGGAGAGGATCCCCTCTTCCTCCCTATCTGCTCACATGTAGTGGGACCACCTGAGGCACCTGTTCCTGGAATATCCCTAGGCTGTCCTGTGGGACAGCAAAAGGAGAAGGTCTCCTTGTGCAGTGATGCTCTCCTGAGCTTGGCCAGGTTAAAGGATGAGCAGGAATATCCCCATAGCCTCTCAGCACCAAGACAGTACAGTTGTCAGGAGCCGGGACCCATAAGCCTTTCTCATACCTACAGGATGTATTCGGTACAGAGAAACAAGGTGGAAGCACTCTAGAACATTCAAAAGAAAGCTGGAAGAAGTCCCTGGGACCACCCTTTTCTCATCTCTTCCCTGCTATCCTTTTACTACCTCCTTCCTTGTTGTCAGAAATTTATCTTTCAGAAATCCCCTGCCGAGGAAAGCAGGTTTGCAAAGGGAGAGAGGAGGGAAGAGTGAGTGATGTTTGCCATAAGCCTCTCTTCCTCCAGATCAGAGCCATATAGCGTATGCCAGAATGGCAAGTCAAGCTGTTGAGGACTTTCCATGGGACCCCAACCAGCTTTTGTTTAAGAACAGTTCAAGTGTTTATTTGGAAGGACTGCAAAGTTTTCCTTAGGATCCATTAATGAAGCTTAACTCTCCAATCTGAACGTGAGCACTGACATGGAATCTCAGCTGAGAGCTCCAAATTCCCAACCACTGACTAACCTAGCAGCTGTGCTTGAACACCAGCACCATCTTATCCTGCTGGGAAGGAGGAGGAAGGGGGCAGAGATGTTAGATACATGCTGGCCAGATTCCCTCTGAAGTCAGTGGGAGCTTTGCTTGTGTACGAACAGCGTGCCCAGATGTAAAAATGAAGGAGACAGGGTGCTAGGAAAATATTTTCCATGCACTGTGTGTGTGCAGAGCAGCCTGCGACATCTAATGAGTGCAGAAGGCAGGAGCTATTACAACATAACTCTCAGATACTCTGCTCCAGTGTCTGTGCAGCTTTCTGTGCAGCTCTGAGCAGGGTTTTCCCTTTGCATCTACTTGCAGAAAATAAATTCTCAAAGTTGCCTGAAGATGTGAAAAGATTTCTATTAAGCTTTGAAGAAATGGCTCACCAGTTTGGGTGCCTGGAATGTGAGGCAACACTCAGCTGCCTGAGGAGATGCTTTGGAAAATCTACCTGGAAGCTCACCTGTCTGCATGCGTACCTGATGTCTTTGTAAAGCTGATCTTTTCCACCACCTTATCTGCTGTTCTGTTCTGACCTCCAGGTACCTTCCTTGGCCTCTGTTACCTAAAACATGGAGCCTTTCTGTTATGGAGAAGCGCATTACACTTTACTTTACTAAGATGGGTGTCTGAGGCAAGGTGTGATGTGAAACAAGCCACCTTCTCATAAGATTTGGAAGCCCAGGCAGCAGTTTTATTGCGTTTGATCTTTTTAGAAAGAACTATATTAAGAAATTAGTATTTAGAAAACATGAATGTAATTAAACCCAGCCAGTACAAACTGCTAGTAACTGGGATCTCATGCTTTGCTGAAGTTTGTGAACAGACAAAATGTGCAGTTAGCTGATTTTGCCTGCAACACATAAGTGCTCTTCCCTTCTCCCCTGGCCACCTACATCAAGATCTACAATGAGATCAGATATTTAGTATGAGATGGATGCTGGTGAGGCAAGGTAGTTGTAGGTTCTTGTATCTGTAAACAGTGTTTATCACAGGCCTCCAGGAATGGCTAGGTTTGAGTAAATGCTGAGCCTTCCACAGACAGCTCCTGAATGTTCATTGCATTCATGTGCCCCATATAGTCCAGAGAAATCTTGTTTTCTGCGGGGTTTCACTTAACATTCATGTATCACGTTCCTAGTACTAGTACTTGCCCAAGTGTAATAGTATAAGGATTATGTAAATCAGTGCTTATATTGTTACTCAGATGTACCGTTTGGTGTCCAATATATATGTTTACAGTAATCATCACTATTACAGGTCTAAGACGTATTAGGATGACAAATTTTGTGATGTAAACTTTTGACAAAATGGCAGTGTGAATCTAAATCTTTGCAAAGCTAGGATACAATTAGCAAATGAAAGCAGCGTACACAATTGTAAGGGAGGCAGCATCATTTGTTGCCTGGCTATACTAAGGATTGCTTTAATATACCATTCACTTGTTAATGATGCTATCAATTATTTTACTGTAAATTAGCTATTGTGAGCTTGAGATCTTTTTGCAGTGTGTGTCATTAGGTTACAGGAGCATAAATCAGACTCCCATCTCTTTTTACATCCATAACCATAACGTATGGCTTTTATTAGAAAATGTTAAGTGTCTTTTAATGTCTTCTTAATGGACAGTGTGTGCATGTGTTGATGATGAAAGCCATCTTCCTTCGTACAAAATATTAATGCATAGAGCCTGTGTCTCCATAGATACAAGGTAAGGAATGGTATTTAACCTATGAAATATTCAGTATATACATTAAGTTCAGAATTTGTATTTTCTATAGTTAACAATCCTTTAGGGAAGGAAGGAGTTAAAGGTAAATCAGGGCTTGAATTCTACCGCGTATGCATATGTAACTGTGAATAAATGATATGGCAACCACTGGAAAAAAAATATCTGTCTATAAAATGCCTGTTTCTAAATGGAAATACCCCATCCCCATAGAGAATTAGGAAATGGGATTTATATCCTCTTAGGATTCCAGCCTGTAGATCACAAAGAAAGACTCATTATCAGTTATATATTCTGCCCTCTAAACTAAAATACTGGAATGCTTCCAAGAAAAACGGTGTTTTAGTCTCTGTAGCCTTTTCATTGGAGCAGCTTTATCCATTTAGCCTTTGGACCATTCCACAACATCTTGGACAAGAACATTGCTTTGACCTGAGATCTATTTACCGACAGATTCCTGGCCACCAGAGATCTGCTCCTCAAATTAACGCCTGCTAATGTTGGGCTTGATTAAAGGAAGCTAATGAAGCCATTTGAAGGATGCCCTCCAGCCTTCCCTCTCTGTGTCCATGTTCCCTTGGCAGAAATCGGGGATTTGAAAGCTGCAATTCAACAGCATCATCCTTTCATGTTGTGGTAAATATTTTATTATTCCTTTACCCTCCATGCTGTTTAAAAGAATTCATTTAAAATATTCACTTCTTTGTTCAAGGAGGAAACCTCCAAAGGGTATGCAAACAAGAACGTTTAGAAATGCACCAAGATGTAAGTGCAGGCTCTGCTCCAGCTTTTCCCATTCATTCAGGCTGCAGACCTGGCGGCTCCCTGACGGAGATCTCTGCTCAGCTCAGCAGCCTTCAGCAGCTGCTGTGCCCCCCCATTCATGTCCAGGCAGCTTCCCTATCTCTGTGCCCTGTGTTTCCACTTCTTCCCTCCATCCATCCTGTTTGCTCCTTAATCTGCTGACTCCTTTGATCCTCCTCAGGAACAATGTTTATCCTCCCACACTGAAGCACCAACCGTCACCATGGAGGGCCAGCAGCAATTTTACACCTCCATAAAGGTACATTTAGGAGAGAAGTGACACCTGTCCAAGCTGATGCCTTTCTGAAGGCACTGTCCTCCACCTATCCCTCCTGCTTACCAAGACAGATGCCTTAGGGGTTAATCCTGCTCTCTTTCTGTGAACTTGATCTTTTCTTTACATTTGACTGCACATGCAGAATCAGGCCCTAGTCAGTGTCACCATTCCCATATGTAAAAGCACCAAGGCACTTCTTAGAGGAGTTGGGTGCCTATTTAGGGCCATCTTTATTGCCATCTATGTGGTGAACCGATGTGTGCATTCCCTTTCCAAAACTGCTGGCACTGGGAGGGAGAGGTTGGCCTTTGGTAGCCAGGTGAGAAGCCTCCCAGACAGTGTCCCTTCACCATGAATGAACCCTCTCCTCTGATTAATACTTTGCATTTCCCTCAAGGGAAAAGACAGAGTGGGGAGGTAAGTGAGCAACTGAATTATCCATTCTCGGAGAAGCAGGATCATAAATATTTAACATGATACGTATGAGAAAAGAGAAGGGAACAGACAGCCTCTCCAGTCCAAGCTAAGCAGCTCTCCAAGCTCCCTGTTTCCATGATCCCTTTTCCATCTCATACAGGAAGAGGGCTGGAGTAGATGCCTCTCTGCTGGGGCATAGCTGACTGTGGAAACCTGTGTATGGAGGGAAATACCTGGTGTAACAGAGATCTCCGTCCTCCCACAGGACTGCCTGGCCTATGAATGGGACCTGCCCCATGCTGTGTATTACTAGGAGCCCGCTGGAGAACAAGGGTCTCAGAAGCTCACGTAAGTACATGAGCTCATGCCATGGCATCCAGTTGGGCCCCACACATGGGACTTTCTTGAGAGTGTGGCCTGCATCCCCAGGCCCTGTACACAGTTGTTGGGATGCCTGCTCTACTCTGCCTGTGGCACTAAGCCTGGTGCCACCGGGCGGAGGTGGGACCGAGGGGAGAAGCGTTTTGTGAGGGTGCTGGTTGCGTAGCTTACCCTTGCATATCTGGAGGAGTAGGGGTCCTCAAAGAGCGCCCAGATGCGAGGCTGCCACCGTCTCCAGAAGCCTCCAGACCTGCCATCCGGGGAGTCACTGAGTGCGAGGCGTTTTGTCATCTCCAGCTCCTCTTCGCCATCACCAGAGTCTCCGGTGCCATCTATGTCTCCGTCCTCGGCGCTGCTATCCAGGGGCGCCCCACCAAAGCTGTCCAGAGCCTCTTCGGCGTCGCGGTGCTGCCGGTAGGTCATCCAGCAGCAGGGCTCCACGTCGGTCTCATCGATGCCCCAGAAGGCCAGCTCCTCCTCGTACAGGGGCCCGCACACGTCGGCGGGGCAGTGCAGCTTGCCAGTACGGTAGTAATTCAGGATGTGGGCGAAGACGCCCGGGTGCCGGTCGAAGAAAAACTCATCCGTGCGGGGGTCGTAGTCGAAGTGGCTGTGGGCATCGGGCTCGGCGATCCAGGCCAGCCGCGTGCCGGGCAGGGTGCGCAGGGTGCTGCGGTAAGTCTGGTGCCTAGTCCCTCCCACGTTGATCACGATGCGGTCGCTCTCGTCGCCCTGGCCCATCTCGTCTCTTATCAGGCATGTCGCAGCCTCATCCAAGCGAGCACGGAGGGCGGCGAGCCCGCGAGGGGACGGCTGCTCGGCGGCAGGCGCTGCGAAGCCGAGCCCCGCTCCGGGTCAGGGCCCCGCGCCCGCTCGGCGCCCGCGGCCGGGGACTGCCGGGGCCGCGCCGCCGTCGGCTCAGTCAGGGGCGCGGGGGCCGCGGAGGCTGGGGCCGCGGCGGTGGGGCGGGAAGGGGCGGCGGGGACATGCTCCGGGAGCTGCGGAGGCTGGGGAGCGGGGACGGGGCGGAGGGGGAGGTCCCTGCCGGTTGGATGTGGCCAAGACACCCAGGAGGGAGGGAGGGGAAAAAAAGAAATACTAAGGAAAAAAGAAAAATCGCGGCAGCGGCGGTGCCCTCCGGCGCGCGGCAGTGGGGCTGCGGGGTCGGAGCCGGCGGCAGCCGGGGGCGGCGGGGCTGCGCCCGCCCCGCCTGGCGGGGGCGGAGGGGCCCCGCTGGTGCTGAACGGACAGCGCCGCGCCGCCGCTTCCTCCTCCTGCGCTCCTCGCCGTGCCGAGCGCGCTGCCTGGCCGGGATCGGGGCCGGTGCGGGCGGCGGGGACCCGCGACGCCGCCGCCGCTCCTCCCGCTGCCGCCGCCGCTCTCCGGCGGCTCGGTGCAGCCCGCCCGCTCGCTCGCGCAGGCGCGCCGCTCCCGCCCGCCGCCGCGCGCCGGGTCCTAATGCCGGCCGCGCCCCGAGGGCGCCGCGCCCGCTCCCCCCCGCCCCCCCCTCACGGCGAGAGTCCGGAGCTGCCCGCCAGCGGGAGCGGTGCCCCGTGCCCCCGTCTCAGAGCCCGCCCGAGTGGCGTCTCCGGGACGACTCCGGCGGCGCTGGGGTGAATCCCCGCCGCTCACCTTTGGGCAAAGCGGCAAAACCCCTCGTCTGCCCTGGTACGTGTCCCGTGCGGCGTGCAGGGGAAGGAGACGGGCGTGGCAGCAGCTTGGGTGCTGAGGGAAGCGTTGCAGGAGCTGTGGCAGGATACACCGGAGAGGCCTGAATGCCTGCTTCCTCTGCGTGAATGGCAACAGGTTGGTTACGAGGCTGGTGGGACAGAAGGAAGGCCAGAGGAGCTGGATGTTTGTCTGCCTGAACTGTGGGAAATGAGCACGGAAATCTGAAGCACGGTGAAGTTAAGGAACATGAGGCTGAACCAACGCAATGCTGTACCGCAGCCACCCTCAGCTGCTGACAGAGCCTCCAAGAAGAGCGGCCAGGCAGCAGCTGAGCGCCGGGTTGAACATGAAAGACTGAGGTACAGGGAGGGGTCTGAGAAGCCCCAACACAGAAAGGCCATCCAAAGTCCTTGAGAGTTGGCAGAAGGAAAGCATAGAATGAGAGGAGAGCGGTGAGCTCAAACCTGAAATTTGGGAAGAGAAAGGAAATGAAGATTGTAGTTTGTTGATAAAATGATGGTAATTGTTTTATAGTCCCACTCACCTATTGTTTCTTATGGTGATGGATCCAGGGGCCAAGGGGAAGCAGAGCAGGGCAGGTTCTGAGGGCCATGGGGGTTAATCCAGAAGAGATTTGAGGTCCACTCCCAGCCCTTTAGTCTTGCCTTCCATTACCCATATCAGCATTTCCTCTGTAGGAACATCAGTGTTGAGCTCTCAGGCGGCGGTGAGGATGAAAGGAGCCCCTTGCAGCTTCTGGCACTCCATCTTCCTCTCTGCCTGGGCATTGGCAGGAGCGTGCTGCAGGAGCTCAGAAGAACCTGAAAGCGTGCGTTAAGAAATTGGAAGTTTGCTCAAAGGCGGTTTTCATGGGCTCAGGTGGGGAAGCCACGCTTAAGTGACCTGCGAGGTTTCTTTGAAGATACAAAGGCTGCAATTGATAAAGGAGAGTTGGCAGTCACAGATGAGCAGGGTATTTCAAACAGAGAGTGAGAAGGCTCCAAATCATAGATCTGTGGGTGAGGGGAAGCAGAGGATTGGAGCAAGACAGCTGCAAAAACAGGAAACTGTCTTAAAAGCATACATTGGAAACATAAGTTTGTGATTATACATTATTTTCATGGGGAAAATGAAAGATAGCATCATTTCCAAAGCTTATATTGCAGTTTGGGAGGTGAAGTATCAGAAAATAAGATCTTTATTAAACAAGGAACATAGACAGTAACATCATATTGACAAAAAAAAAAAAAACTTTGCTGCCAGGAGCCTGCCTGGTTGCAATATAAAATTCTGGTTTTGTTTAACAAAATATTTTTCCATGGATATAAAGGTTTGGACTACAACAGATAAAAGAAACCAAATCATTTTCAAAGACTGTCAAATTTAGGGATAAAATGTTTTCCACAGAGGCTTGTGGAAAATTTTCAGTACCAAACTGCATCGTGGCACTCCTGGCTCCTCTCACCCCACTGAACCGTAATGGTGCTGCAATCATTCCTTGCTCTGTCTCATTCTACCAGCCTCCACCCGCTGGGATGCTGAAGGATCTCCCCTAACTTTGCAGTATTTTCCAGGGCTGTAATGAGGTTCTGTAATCCAGTGTACACGAGATGAACATATGTATATATTTGTCACAGTCGGGCATTCAGCCTTTTCAGTTTCAATAGCAGTGGCTCCTCTTCTCTGCTTTCAGACTTGTGTTACAGACAATGCACTCGCTTGTGGAAGCAGCATCACCCATATAGCTCCACTGACTTCAATTAAAGAATGAATGAAAGAGTAAAAGTTTGGTTTTCATGTCAACCACCTGAAAAAAGTCCTCTGTGTATCCCTGTTGGGTGTTTTCTCTACCCAGGAAAAAGAAGTTGTGCAGGGAGGACTTTATAGGAAGGTGGATATGCATGTCCAGGAATCACCTTATTTTTCTCTGCTAGTTCTTGTCAGATTTAAGTTAAATTAGCAGTTAAGCTTACTAAGATTTACTTGCTAAAAAGGAATGAAAACAGTTTTAAGAGCTCTGGGAGACCTGTGTGGGAGGCACGGATTTGGTAGATTGAGCAAGGAGATCACAGTCTGGAAAAGGATTCTGGTAAAACAGCAGCAGGAGGAGGTAATGTTATCATAAATTCCCAAATGATGTTGGCCTCAGAATTGTGTTTTATTTCCCTAGCTGATACTGGTGACAGATTTTGATGGTCATCTGCCTCGAGCTGTGGCTAACCAAAGCCTGGTGTGAGTAGGAGAAAAACAGCTGTAGAGTTCAGAAAGACTTTTCAATGTGAGAGGCTGGAGCTGCACAGCTGCTGTTCAGGAGAGAATATATGTGCTTTGAGCAGCCCTATTAAAGTCACTGGGAGTGCTTACAACCTTAGCTGTTCATCTGAATCAACGCTTTCAGTGGTGACAGTGGAAATACAGCTTTGAGCCATAGATCTGTTTTATTTTTCAAACTCCTATGCAAAAGATCATCTGTCCCCTTACTAATTTTATCCTTTGTGTTAGGTCACCCTACTGCCTCCTGTGTTGTGATGATACAGGCAGAGGAAGTCTTTCTTTCGCCTCTGTCTCTGGAGTCCTGGCATCACCTTTGCTGACCTATGCTTCAGCATCCCCAGGGTAACAGGATACAATGAAAGGTAGGTTGTCTTCCAGAAAGAAGTCTCTACCTAATAATACAGCTGAGAATTTCAGTGATTTCTAATCATATCTCCAAAGGGGTTTAAGGAGTTTTCTTTTCAGTGGATGGGGGGGATGACTGAGCATTTATTTCCTAATATGTCTGTATTTAGTAAGTATTCACCTTTGAGCAAAATTATAGCTTTGTTTTCTTCGATAGATCAAAATTTTAGAATGCTGTGTAGGCACGAGAAACATACAGGGAAGCTTTGCTTTATGCTTTGGTACTTTCCTAGTATAACAGTGTCTCATTTTGCATACCTGAGAGTACCTGAGGTACTTAACAAGGACATACCAACAGTAGTGATAAGTAATGAAACACTCACTCCTTAAATTTAAGCCTGCCATTCAGAGTTCATCAACCAGTTTGTACTCAAAGACACAGCTTCTTATAAAAACTTATTGACCAATTCTAAGAAAAGTGACAATATAAAGAGGGAAAAGAGACATTTATAAAACCTATGACTTTATGTACAACTACGAATACATCTGGAGAGCACATTTAAAATGTTTTAAAGCTGGGGGAAGCTGAGAGGGAGAGATTTATTTCTGAGTTATAATCTCAAAACAAAAAGCAGCCAGGGTTGGAGCACCGATTTTGCAATGGTCGAATGCTATAACTCAGTCTGTGCTGTCTTGTATTAAATTCATGACAATTCAACAGTATTCCAATGCAGTTCTTTATCAGTTCTAGATTACATCATGCTGTGAATTGCTGTCTGTTAATATTGATCTTTGTAAATCATTTGGAATCAAATGGAAAGCTGTGATGCACTTCAACATGCAATGTACTCACTCTGTCCTTGAAACTGATTTAAAAACAAACAAAGCTGCACTTGCAAAGATGATATTACTTTTCTGCAAGGTGAGATTTACCCTTTTGGACTATCAATAGTTGGATGAAAGCCTTCCATGGAAAAAAATGAGAATGAGGGAGAAAATAATTTGTTGTTGCTTGATGTTGACTGAGGGAGACACAGAGGTGCCGCATGCCTGAAGGGCTCACATCACAGTCACAAAGCCTGATTCAAAAGAAGTCATCCTGCTTTTAGTCACAGAAATAGAAGCTGCACAGATTAAATGCTAGCCCCTGCACACTTACCTGGCTAGGTTTGGGCTTTTTTTTTCCCCTTTCTTCACAGAAGCACAGAATTATAGAGGTTGGAAGGAACCTGGGGAGATCATTTAGTCCAAACCCCTCTGCTAATGGTTCCCTACAGTAGGTTGCATAGGGAAGAATCCAGAGGAATTTTAAGTATCTCCAGAGATGGAATCTCCACAACAACCTCTCTGGGCAGCTTGTTCCAGTGCTTTGGAGGTTATTTTCATATGGTTACTTAAATTTTGCTTAAATATGTACTTCGTTTTTATCTGTGTTCTTCAAATATCGCTTGGCTTTGCTGTGAGCTGAGAACTATTTGCTGTGCTGCACCTGCTGACTGCATTTTGTTCTCCATCCGTTTGTACTGGGCTGCATTCGATTGTGAGTGAAGGTTGTTTTAAGAATCCCTTTAGGATCCTTAACAAAGAGTTCCAGTGTAGAAATATCACTATTGAACAGATGCATATCAAACTGTGAGACAAATGAAAGTTGTCCTGGGGAAAAAAAAAAAAAAAAAAAAAAAAAAGAAGAAAGTAATATCATGTTATGTTAGAGATCATCACAGGTCTTTACTCGTTCCGTTAACTTAGTGGAATTCCCACCTGCAATGATCTGATTTCACTGAAAGTTCCTGGGAGGTGAAACTGAGTAAATTGATGTGAGATTGCGCATGCACACAAGGCAAGGTGGCAGGAATGATCTGCTTTCTGAAGGCCTGGGATGCTGTCCAGACCCTATTTCTCATAGGGAGAGAGAGCAGCAGTGAACACTAAAAATGGCTATAATCTGCCTGAGAGCCAGCACCTGCCTGAAAGCAGCGCATAAGTGGGCTGGGCCAGGCACTGTGCTGCTCTTGGAGCATGCATTAACCTCAAATGATTTTCATGATATACTTTACTCAAGACCATAGTAAAAGTGTCAGGATTTATCTTGTATGAACATTCCCTAACATAGAAATCATCAAGAAATTATGGAGCAAAATCACAGCAAAAATCTGCTTTCAGTAACTGAAATAAGGCATGCAGCTTTGCTAATGTGATGCTTTGTTCTATGAAGGGTATAGATTAGTCTCTGTCTTCCTGATGCTGATCTAGGAGAGATCCAACAAAACAAGCAGCTGGTGATGAGGAAAAGTCAACTTACAATATTGGAAGATTCGTGTCAGCGAAAACACGCTTATAGAAGCTGCAAAATGTGTGTTACTAGGAGCTGAGTGCAGGAATCCTGAAGGCTCTAAATCTGCATGTTCAAAAGAGTAAATGCATGCACGTAGAGCTGAACTGTGTAGCTCCTACCACGTGCTACCACTGCAGTTCCAAAAGTGGCTAGTGATTTGGCTTTGCTTTATTTGTAGTTGATCTGTTCTGGGGGGGGAGTCCTATGAGGTCCTTGACTTTCTGAGATTGACCTAATCAACTTTTTTTTTTTCCTTCTGAAAATGAAAGTCTGCTAATGCTGGGTGACGTTTTTAAAATCTTAGCCAACTTGCAGGTGCATGAACACAGCAACAGGCACAAACCCATCACACAGACTATTTGCAGAATACAGAACAGGAGGCACTGGTCTTTTCTTGAGCAAAGTGTGCCGTTCTCAGTGCCTCAAGTACATCCTTTTCATTTGACCACATGCATGCAAAAATGGGGGTCTCTTTCTAATGGAAGAGGACAGAACATGTTGCATTATGCACAAAACACATGCTTGCCTAACAGCTGACTATTTCTCTAATACATCAAAATAATTAGAACATTTCTTTCTCTGTTTTTAAATTGAAATGGGAGGTTTACTTTTGTTGAATGATTCACTTTTCACAACTGTTATTATTTCTCAAGCTTACACTGAGTCTGCAGCAGCAACTGAAATGTTCTCAGACAAACAAGAAGGAAAATAGCCTGTAAATCTTTATTGGTATAAATGGTTCATAAAGCTGGGTGTTGAAAGGTAAGCGTAGTTGAAATAAATCTGAGCAGTGCTGACTCCAACGTTTAAAGCATTGGTTAAATCTCTTGATTAACCCAGCTCCTCACTTTTTGACATGGATCAATAATTTTGAGATGTCTCTGCTTTTCTCTGGCTTTGTGATTATTTATGTGGGCAGTGCCATGAAATATGATGTTTAATCCTGTTGAAGTAATTCTTACATGCTGCATATGGTTGTAGTTCAATAACTGGCACTAAGGGTAAAATGGACTGTGTTTCTTTTGTAAGTAAACAGGATTTATACAATACAAGTGTGAGTAAATGGAAAGCAAAATCCACATTCTAACGCAAATCTTCAGCCAGCTGTTGGGCATGCAGATTTCCTGATTTTTGTTTGTTTTTGAACCTGTGGCTCAGCACTACCAGCAGTCTATTGTTCCAATGAGAGCTAGATCAGAGCTAATAGTGCCAGGATGTATTGTAGCTTTGTGCTCCAGGGAACAGGAAGGTGCTCTACCCATAGGTTCCTGGCCGTGGGAAGAAGCCTTCTCTAGGAATTGCAGTGCAGAAAGGCCGTACTGGCCCAGCAGATAGTGGCTGATGTTCCTGCTAGCACACAAGATTTTCAGCAGGTCTGTATTTAAATGGTTGGCTTACTAAGCACAGTGCTATGCTTGTTCCTAAGACACGGCTTGTTTAGTCATTGTTTACTCATGGAATGATTCATGGGTGGGTTCTGCCAGGCTTTGCAGATGTACTCCCTGCCTGTAGGTATCCTTGAAGTAAAGGGTTAGGGAATAACAGGGAAGCAAAGAAATATCATGGTGGCACAAGGTGCTCAGAGTTGGCCAACAAGAATTCAGAAGTGCGTCCTCCTAATTTAGGCTCTGTTCTCATGGGAAGCTGGACCTTTCTGTGCTTTTAGGATGGATGCCTGTCCTGCAAGAGAGCCTGCAGGAGCGTACTTACTGGCTTTCCTATGAAGGGATGAGAGAAAAGGGGTACCCAGTTTGCAAATCCATAAGGGCCAGTCTTCTGTGAAATTTTCCAGCCTGTAATTAAAAACAAAACATATTTCTACAGGTTATTTTAAAGTTGTTCTCCAGCTTACAGACATCCAGCCTATTTAAAACATAGAGAAAAATATTGCTTCCTAAAATTAATGTCAAAGTGTTTCAGCCTTTTATTTGGTTTATTATGTTAATCCCTTAAGATCCCTTCAGCAGATTAAGAGATCTCATGCAGAAGTACTCAGTGGTGCTGTGCTTCTGTAGCTCAGTTTGATTATCGCATGAAACAAGCAGAGAAATACATCCTGAAAGGAACAGTGCATCCCAGAAAAGGTGGTGTGGGAATTCAATGAAATTACTGTCCATTCTCCTGAGTGTATGTTTATACAGTTGTTAGCAGGTGTATTTGTCCATATGTACAAAAATGTGTACAATACTCATTGGGACAAAACCTGGATGAGTACCTTTTTCAGCTTCATTTCCACATTATGTTACATCTCTTATCCTACTGATTATTTCCCCCCCATCCTCACTAAGTCTGAGTAAGAACTGCAGAACGTGTCTAATTTTTTAGAGGTATTTTGAAGTAGTTTGAAAGAAAAAATGTTTAGACATAAAGGCTTTCGTTTTTTGCCACACACAGCAAAACTCCAAGAGGTTTGAAGAGCATTTAATCCAGTTGGAAATCAGGCTAGGGATGGTATATCAAATATGAATTAAAACTTTCAGTGTTGAAAACATAAAGCTAACGACCTTGGCTTAAAAAAAAAAAGAAAGAAAGAAAAAAAAGTACAGTCTTTTAATTCACTCCAGCCAATGAACAGTCCATAGACAGCAAGTTAACAAGCAATAAGTAGTGATAGGAAAACTTCACAGATGAGTCCTATGTAGCTAGACATCTGCTCAGCCAACAAAGATTTCCAAAAGATCAGCTGCATGTCTGGAAACATAACCACTGGTGTCTAAAATAGAAGATAGGGAAGCAGAAGTTGTTTATTTGTTGGGTTTGTTTGTTGGTTGTTTTTTGTTGTTTTTTTTTTTCTTCCTATATTTTATGCTGTACCAGAAGAAAAAAGAAAGGAGGCAAAATCCAACCAACCAACAGACGAACAAACAAACATACCAGAGCCCAATGTAATGGTGGTGATCAAGAATTGCTTGAAAGGCATATGCCTTAAGTCTCAACAAAGAAAAGATATGTCAAAGTTATTTTGCTTTAGCTACAAAACATACATGCAGGAACACTACATACCTAGGAGGTATGAGGTTTAAATGAACTGATCAATCTTTCCTGTCTATCCAATAACTTGCATTTAAAAGAGGGAGCATTATTTTGTCATTCATTTCTGAGATACAGAAATTTTTTTCATCATTGATGTGCAGCAGAATTCTGAATTCTGGCTGCAAAAAGATGCCAGAGAGCAGATGAGGCAAAATGACAGATTCAGGTAAAACATGAGCAGGCAGCTCACAACAAGTAATGCAGTGCGTGCCAGTCCTGCTCTTCCCTGGAGATGGGGCAGAACTGCCTCAGAAAGAACAGATGGAAACAGCTGCCAACAGATGAACACTGGAAAGGATTCAAGCCACAGTACTTGCTGCAACTCGGGAGTTAGAGGCCTGAGCTTACCATGACAGGTATTAAGATTGTGAACCAGGCAGCTGTCGGTCAATCCTTGGATATGAGAGCAGAAAAAGCTGCTATAGAATGAAATCCGTCTACAAGACATTCTCCAGGATCTTTGTAATTCCAGTATGAAAAAGTAAAGTACGTCTCTAACCACAGTGCTCCAGAACAAATTTGTCAAACTGAATTCCTTCATGCTCCCAGACAAAACAGATCTGAGCTGTTGGGTCTGTAAAGTCTTGCTTACACTTCTGCATGGAGAGTTCGGGTGGATTGCATTTAAGTAATAGGAGCTTGCAATTTTTTAATCTGGTTGTCTTTCTTACAGAAGAGGATACCAAGAGAGATGTTGGAAAACTGAGCCCTGATGACCTTTCTCAGCACTTGAACCAAACAGTGCTTTCAGTAGAACAGCGTCTTCCTCTTTCGTGCCCAGGATGAAGTCAAAGCCCCCCACAGGAGCCTGTAATGCTTATAAGTGAGATTTGCCTGGATGGAAGCAAGCCACCAGAGCTTATTTCTCAGAGAAGTCCTACGGTAAGAGGCTTCTTTAATCTGTGGTTGTACATAGTACTAAAATTAAAAGAACACTGCTAATGTATTTTTTGTGAATATGCTTGTGCCATAATTCATTCACTCAAAGCAGTGGTTTCTCTTGACCTTGAGATAAGATTTAACAGGTGGCAAAAAGATAAATTTAGGAAATCCAGTGACGTAATGCTGATAATTTTATGTTGTCTTGCATATTTTCTAGCACACCATGAAGAATAAATAAATTGCAGAAGCTGAAGTGTCCTTGGCAAACAAACAAACAAAATAGCACCCTGTGATATTTTTACCTTTGCTTCTCCTCACCAAACACACTGCTCACTCCCACAGAGCTTGAAATATTAACCCAGCACGTTAATTTATTTCTTCCAGAGTTGCCCTGGCTGTTGGATTTAACCTCTCTCTTGGGAGTACTTCTAAACCAAATGGCTGACTCCATCTCTAGCTTTGTTAATTAAGCACATTACTTTGTTTCTTTTTTCACATTGTTTAATGTAATTGGCATTTGTGCAGCTTTTTAAAGCCATGTTTGGGCCTACATTTTGTACAGCTGGCTCTGATCTGCAAGCTATTTCAAGTGTTTAGTTCTCTAGAAGACCGCCTTCGGAGTGTAGAACATCTGTGCTAAGTACATCCCATGCTTCCTTTCCAAAATGAAGGAAATGACTGGTGTGACACATGTTCTGCCCTGTGTACATTTGTATTTCTATGGCATTGCACTTGTAATGGGAACATTGAATGTTCTGTTTGAGAAAGAGAACTTCATCTACAAGCTGCTGTGATAATGTTTGCCTATACTATAGTCTTTGTTCCAATCACCTTTATGCAACTCATGGGGACATGTTACCATATAGACACAAAAGCCTGTGATTTTTCACACGTAAGTGAATCTTGCAAGTCATGAATTCCTACAGATAAGGGTACCAAAGTTGTGTCAACTGGCAAGAAAGACTGATGGAGTTACACTAGACAGACATCCAGCTCATTAATTTCAGTTGTCTTGGCATGAGAAGATATTCTGTACCTGAATTGAAGAAGTATATATAAAAATTTAGGAAAAAAAATAGATCCGTGCATTGGAGAAATGGTCTCTCTCTCTTTTTTTTATACAAATGCTGCCCTCCAGTGGTCTGGAAAAAAAAAAACACACCAAACAACAACCGATAAACACAGTGCTTATTGATTGCAGGAATGTAATTTCTGCTCACATTGTAGCAAGTAGAAAAGAATTGTACCTCTCAGTATCACTTGGATTGTCTAGGCTCCAGCCTCAGGAAACCCACACGTGGCATAAGGCAAGGTGAAGGCAGTTGTAACAACAGGGTATTGCTTTACCAGTATAGGCCTACTGGCTCTCTTCTGTGAATGATCAGCTGAAAATAAATTCTTTCTCATTAATGGCAGAATCGTAATGCTCTGCCACTCAATGATAGTCAAAACTGCTGACTTCAAATAGAACCACATGTGAGGAAATAGTTGTGAGTTGAACGAACAGGTTTCAGAGAGCATTTGTTCCCAAACGTTTGGATTTTCTGAACAAAAGCAGCCTGGCTGGCAGTCAGAGACAGTGCAGCACTCAGTGGCTGTCAGTCAACCAAGGGGACCATTCTATCCTCCCAGAATATGAATCCTGATGCAGAGTATAAATACTGATGAGCCACACGTAAAGCACAAGTCATTCAGATTTTGTCTTTCAAATATGGCAAGCAGCATTACGATTGTTTTAGGAAAGCGTCAATGTGAAGGAATGTCGCATGACCAAAGTGTAAGGTAGATGATCTCTAGGTGTGTTGCCTCCACACTTCCTTGCATGGCTCAAAATGTTCTTTCCAAATGTGTGAGACCATTTCTCAGCGCGTCCTGTTCTACACTTCCATTTTAGGTGGAGGTGACTGCATGCCAGGAAATTCACACCCTGCTGAAGGACTCCTCCACCAGAGAATGGCACTGCAATCCTTCTGCCACCTCCTGCTCTTGTGCACGTGCCTTCTGTTAGTCTCCCCCAGCACTTCTGACATCTCTACTGTGCAGTGAGTTCAAACCTTTTCTCTTTCCTTTTGTCTTCTTTTTCACATAAATAAACCAAATGAAAATAGGCTGCTTTTTCCAAATTTGTGCATTAATAGACAAAAACCTAGCTATTCCTTGAGTTTTTCACTCTCTCTCCTTAGAAGCCTCTTTGGTAACTAAATACTTGACTTTTTCCAACATGTTTTTCCTGATTTATGGGGCTTCAGGTGCTGAATGAAGGCTGTGACTGTTTTTGCTGTTTCCCCACCTATTGATTACCTGTTACTGAAAAGATGAGAAAACAGAACGTTGAACTCACCGAAAGGGATTTCGGAAATAACTGCAATTTGCACGGTGTCCAGCAGATGCTGCTGTTGGACAAAGAAAACCAAACGGCTCAAGGTCAGTTTCAGTGGGTTAGGGAGAACCTGTGCTTCAGAGGGCTTTTGCAGTTCCAGGTGGTTATTCAGCCCCTCAGGTCTGGTTCGTAGAGACTGGGTGGCCCATCTCACAACCATGTGCTTGCAATATTAGGTGACTGTGCTGAGCCCCAGAACTCTGAATAATTCAATCTGATTCCAAGCAAAAAAAAAAAAAAACAAACAAAAAAAAACAACAACCAAAGCACCAAACCCACTGCCATTACAGCCTCCCTCCCTCCCTCTGATGAAGTGGGTTATTGGTTGTCAGTTTTTAATGCATTTTCATATAAGTAATGGAAAGCTTCACTTCACAGGCAGCGTTTTCCTTCCTGTTGATGAATATAGGATTATTTGTTGAGTCTTATCCGATGTTGCTAATACCCACGAGGAAGATAAGTTGGTGATGTTTCAGAAAGAAATGTGAGCTTAGTGTCATGCCAACTGTATTACTGTGAAGACCCTCAGGTTTTTTGTAACTCTGTGGTTATAGGGTAGATCAGCATTCATTAATTTATATTGTTCAGATGTTATTCAGAAGTGTCTACATATGTGAAAGTTATATTTCTGGGTCTTGCCCTTAGGGATGTCTTTAGGTTCCTTCTGCTGGCTCAGATAGCTTTGTCAGACATTGCTAACTCCTGGTGAGACCTTGGTGGGAAAAGGCAAAGGAGGCTCTTCTGTATGACACTAGGGCTCATTTTGTGCCATTAGCCCTGAATCTCAACTATTGACTGTCAAACCACAAGTTTCTACTCAACAACATTCCCAGGTGTACAACAGGCTCTGCACAGGCCATTGAGGGAAGGTCTTGGCTGTGGAAGAGATTTACAGGAAAGCACATGATCCAAAAGTTCACCTTTGGATGATGTTCTTCTGGAGATGTTAATACCAATTCTGTGAGTAGAATGAGCCAGCTCTCCCCTTTGCAGTATTTGACCCTTTGAAATATCTCTGCAAAATGCCATCTGTAAAATGAAAACTCCCTTCCCTTCCACATTCAGCAATGCCTATCATGTCTTTGAAATAACAAGTCATTCTAAAAGAGCAGCACTGATACAAGGCAATTGCCCACTTTGTATTTATTTAATAGTGTTAGATACAGAAGATAAAATATTTTAATATTTTTTCACATTCAGAACAGCTGCTTTCCTTTAATTATTAGTAGTTTGCTGATTTTTCCTTGGAGGTGGCCTTCCATAGGAAATGCCAGACAGCTCTAAAACCTTCACTGGAAAGTTTTCCACCCACGTTCCGTCTGGCCCTGTCCTGTCTTGTCAAATCAGCTGGGATAAATGAGGACTCAGGCTTGCAGAGTCCTCAGTTCTCCCCAAGCTCTGCGTGTCAGTACAATTGTCCAGATTCAGTCCTTTTTGGTCTTTCCCATCCTGCAGCACATTGATTCAGAATTATACTATAAGTTGATGACTTCAGAGTGTTGGTGTGTGTAGTGCACACTTGTGTGTTCCTGTAGGTCAAGCTAGACTGCAGTCTGTCTTGCAGGATGATCCCTACATGATCCTAACTGGGATGATAATGGATCCCAATTAAGGAAGCAACATTTGCAAATGTTGGGTCAGCCTTGTGCCCATTCTCTGCTCTGCCTGTGTCCCATGTCACCACCAAAACAAAGCTCTGAGTCCAAATGATGTCCAACTTTGAAATGTTTCCACGTTGGCAGGGCTGTATTAGCAATGTGCCATCCCCTTGATGCATGGAGTAACTTCAGGCATTTATTTTAAATATATCACCTTAGAAACAGACGTGAAAAAATGCACGCGTTTTCTTAAGTTGAAAAATAAATACAGCTGTAATCTAAAGGTATGTTTATCAGCACTGATGCCCCTTGGCCTTACTCCAGTGGATTTCTCTCACTGACATCAGTGGGAAAAAGATGGGCTCTGCACAGTAAATCTAGGAATACTTTTTTCTTCTTTATCCATCCATCCATCTATTTTGGGATGTGCTAAATGCTTGCTCTCTGTTGTAACATTAACATCAGTATGTGGAAACTTGGGTTGCTAAAATAAATCAGTGAAATGCAATATACATGACTTCACATAGAACTGCATGTACATTGTTGAGCACAAGCACTCTGTGTCCGCTGTGCCATGCCAGCTGGACCCAGGGTGCTTCCTATTGTACCCCATGGGGTCCCAGAGTGAGGCAGGGGTGAGCTTTGTGCTTCTTAGTTGGATCTTCTTAGTTCCTGACTCTGGAAAATATTTCTTGATTGCCATTACTGTGCCTGTACGTTTGAATTCATGACACTTTCACCAGCCACAGAGCACAGGGATGGCAAGGTCTATAGTACTTCTCAGTATCATCTGCTCCATATGGGCCTGATTGTTCACTGGAGGCAATGGAATTATCATCTATATGGGAAGCTCTGATTTGCAGGGATCTGACTGTGTTTCTTTAGTTTTTGTGAGTCAATGACACTGCCTCCAATCAGACTAAAGTGGGACTTTTTTCTGATCTTAGCAGTTGCTCCTGATTCATGCTAGTGCGAATTAGAACACTGAAATTCATTTAATTCTTATTTTTAGGGGGAAAAAATGAATGTAAATAAGGGGAATAAAAAAGGGAAAAGCTGAACTTTTACAAGCTGGACTGTGTTTTCTGCCCACAGCGAAGCCAACAGGAGACTCTTACAAAGCTGGATGTTAGTTAAGGTGCCGAGAGGGCAGCCCTGCCCCAGCCTCTCTGACCAGCCAAGCCTGGAGTGCCCGCACAGCAGCCCTGTGTCCTCTGTGCCCCCAGTCGTCATCCACTGTGGTCACTGCCGCATGCACGATGGAGCTCATGAGTTGTTCCTTCCTTCTTCCTGTTGAAGAGGTACAAGCTGCACTAATTCCTTCAGTAGTAATCACCTAAGGGGGAATACAGTGACTGATCTGTCATCAAATGCTCAGAGCTGATGATGGTATCTGTTGTTTATTTGTTTGGCTGTTCTTTTCTCTGTGAAGTTTAAACAAGAGCCATAAGTCACAGGGATATGACAAGGATCAGGTTGTTGTGTGTGGGCTTCAGCAACTGTCCAAATGTACAGATACACCCTGATACTTGCTTATCAATGACAATCTGCTCGGAGCTTCATGTTTTTCAGTTTTGTGGCAAGCTTGCAAGGTTACATATATACACTGAATGAAACATACCCCACCGGTTATTTTTAGAGAGGCTCTAAACAAGAAGCAAATCCCTGGAGCAGTGCTGCCAGAGATGCTTAAAGTTCAAATCCAAATTAAAACTGCCAATCTTGGGCTTCAATTCCAGCCTGAACTTGAGGAAAACTGTGATCTGTACCTTGAACTTTGTGACAGAAAGCGACTTCTAAGTGTTTTCTAATGCCTGAGTGTATATGAATATGGTAAAGTCACCTAAAACTAGATCTTACATGGAAAATCTGAATATTTGGGAATGTAGTTCCTGATCTTGCAAAATATTGTCGTAAGGCTTTAATTCATAGTAGCTGCAATGGAATCTGGAGAGTTTAATTTATTAGGACTCCCACCTCTATTACAGCTTTGTAAGCTCTCATCATGTAATTGTGAGGTAAATGTGCTTATTTACCTCACAGACCTTCTTAGTGAAGACCACTGATGTGTAAGACTTGGTTTAGAAATCACTAGGATACAACAGGAAGAAAGCCAACCCCTTTTCAGCAATGTCTTTGCACAAATTAACTGAAAGTGGCGCAGCTGAAGCAAGCACTTGATTTCTTTGCTGAATCAGAGCCTGTGTCTTCTTCCTGCCAAGGCAGCGATCTTAACACCGTTCCTAAATGCACCAGTAACTCTAGAAGCTCTAATGAAAGTCAAGATAATGCCACAGATTTTATAAATAAGGGTCTTTATTTAGAATACTGTTGAAGACATTCTTGGCAATCACATCGTATAAATATATAAAGTTAAAGTTTGGCACAACAAACCAAGCAACATTAAATATATATATTTTTAATTTTTCCTATGTTTGTTTTTAATTTTAGCTTTCATTTTTTTCCCTTTTTCTTCTGTTTTTCTGTTCTTTTTTCTTTTTTCCTTTTTTCTTTTCTTTTTTTTTTCTTTCTTTTTTTTTTTTTTTTTTTTTTTGCAAAGCAACTCTTATTTACAATTATACAAAAAGTTTTATAAAAAATGGTCCACAACCTTATTTTGGCCAGAACAGGGGTAATAAGAAGAAGGATCTGTCACGCCACTGCTGTTGTAGATTTCTTTTTTCCTCCGTATTCAAGAGCCAGGTTCCTATTCTCCAAAGCCCAAATTTAACATTGGCCATTTCCCCGTATACGCTTTTATCTCTAGACATATTAAATAACTTTAGTTTAGCAACCAATAAATAACTAAGTGTATTCTGTAGTAGTACAGGTTTGAAAACTTACAGAAGGAATTTTGCATGATATTTTAAAACTGAAACAAGTCTTGAAGTCCCTTCTGCTTTAGAAGGCAAGTCTTGGAGCTTGGCTGAATGGAGCAATTTGTTCTCGGCGCAGTCCGGCTGGACCTGCCTTTATAGCACTTGGTAAATCGGATTGCTGCTGCTGCTGCTGCTGCTGCTGTCCTGGGGAAGCGGGGTGCAGTTGGTGGGGGAAGGAATCTGGGCTCCACTGTCATTCAGGCTTGCTCCTTCCTGGGGGGAACAGGGACTCCCTTCAGCAACAGCTTCAGCTGGAGGCAGTATTGGACAGGTGGAGTTGTCTGTGGAAATCCTCTCCACAATGCTTGAGAGGCAGTCGAGGCTGGAAACAACGGAACTCTTCCCATGCTTTGGGTCTAAAAACAAAGAGAAATGTGATCCATTTATCCACTGTGTACTTAAATTGTAAGATGTAGATCTTTCATAAAACCCCAGCAAGTGGCTGAAGTATGTGTCTGAGAGCATGCAAAACATCAGAGGAAATGAGTATGAGTGAAGGGTGCCAGCTGTCAGGAAAGGAACTGTAATCTGTGAAACAGAGGAGAGACCCAAGTGAAACACGCTGCTACTCAGGGAGAGTGGATTCAGTCTTCAGAAAGGGAATGGGAGATTGGAATTCTGTCAGGCATCTCTCCAGTTTGGATTAATGATACCTGGTTAGAACAGGTATTAGGCTTCATGCAAAATGGGGTTAAGACTAAAAATCAGTTGCAGAGAGGGGTGTATACCTAGATGCTCTATTTGCAAAACAGGAAATGCAGCTCTAACATATCCCCTATACTTGCAAATACATTTACATGAAATCCAGTGCTTCTGCCAGCATCAGCAGCTCATTGGCTGGACAGTCAGGCTCCTTCTCCAGCCTGGCTAAGTGACTGGGGACAGAGAAGGCCACTGGCTGCCCCCATCCTCCATGCTTCACACAGCCATATTCTCAACAGCAGATACTCACCATTTGGTGATTCCGCGTAGTAGCTGCTGTCGTAGCTGTTTCTCCTGCGAGAGCTGCAAGGCGGCCCACTGTACTCCATCTAGAAAGGAGAATAATCTGAGTGAGGCTGGGGGACTGCCTATTCCACAGGTCCAGCAGCCATCTGATTTTGTATTTCAGTGGCTAATCTGTGCCATCACTCTCAGCCAAAATGCTGTCACATTTGTGTCATAGAATGAAGCAGACAGAATTAACTAAAAAAAAGGAATGGATTTACACTAGAATACTTATGTGTCGTGTTCGTACCAAAGGGAAATTACCACCATCCCTATGACTGACGCTGTGGTTTTATCAGAGATGAGGTTTTCCAGCAGTCTCATGTATGCCTGTGGTCAGTTTAGAAAAGGCAACTCAAGAGAGGAAGGGATTCTTTTGATCTAACTTTGAAAGACTTTCCCAAACATGAGAAAGCCACTTTTCCTCTGAGAAAGCCTCTACTCTACCTTCGGATTTCTTTCAGTTTGTCTTCCTACTCTGGTTTTATAAAGAAAAACCGCTAAACCCTGACCAATATATTTGTGGTCAATATGTGAATCTACAATGAAAAGGCTGTATTTTGAAGAGGGGACATTTGTAACTCTCTCCCATCTGCCAACTATTTCACAGTCCCAAGTACTCAGCTCAGTGATTATTATCTCCACTAGAAAACAGAAAAAAATCCCAGAAGTGCCCTTGTGGTCCCGTTCTCCGCAGCAGTCCTGCAGCCACCCTTGTCCTCTCCCCATAACCCAAGGCTCTAAGCCTGGGCTCTTTTTTCTGCTGCCAGTAAATGTCTGCAGAGGGATCAAGTGAGAGGAAAGCTGGCCTTCTTCATGAGGGTCAAGGAAAACAACTCCCGCTACTTGGGCCATCCTCTTGTTATCCTGATGAATGACAGAAAACAAACCTTAGACTTGATCGGTTGCCCTGCGTGTTTTCCTCTGCAATTCCCACACCCAAGGGGAGCTGCCTCACTGCTGTCCTTCGAGGAACAGACAGCAGAGCATGAAATCAAAGGTGCCCAGGGGCCATGTGCTCCCAGGCAACCTCCAACAGAGCTCCCAGGCACACAGGGACTGCCTAACCTTCCTCCCAGGAATCTAACAGATTTCCTTTCTCTTCCCAGAGACCTGGCGTGTGGGGACCCTGCCTCCCTCTGCTGCTGGACTACAAGGAGGAAGGACCTCATCTCCTGCCCCGGGCACTCACCATGCCATCGGAGCAGTTGGAGCGAGGGCTGGAGGCATCTGACTCTCCGCTGTAGTGCTCCAGCACCGGGTAGTACGCATCCTCCTGCTCGCGCAGCAGGGCCTGTAGGCTCTCGATGTAGCGGATGGCGTTGCGCAGGATCTCCACCTTGGGCAGGCGTTGGTTGGGGTTGGTGGAGGTGCAGCGCTTGAGGGTCTCGAAGGCCTCGTTGACCTTGCTGAGCCGCCGCCGCTCCCTCATGGTGGCAGCTTTGCGGCGATCGGCGTTGGTGGTCTTCCTCTTGCAGGCCTTGCACGCCCACAGCAGGCAGCGGCCGGCCTGGTGGTGCCCGCTGGGCGCCCGCACATGTTCCTCCTCGTGCGGGTGCCCGTGGTGGTGCCCGTGGTGGTGCGGGTGCTCCTCGGGCTTCAGCAGCCCACCCACGTGCACCAGCCGGGGGTCCAGGTCCTCGAAGAAGTGCATGTCCGACGTGTTGAAGCATGGGTCATCGTAGAAGTCGTCGGCAGCTGTGAAGGAGCAGAGGGAGCCCTCTGTCATCTCCATGGGGCCCAGTAAGTCCATGGGGGCGATTGGGAGCGGAGCGGGGCAGGACGGCGGTCGGGGGGCACGGGGGGTCCCGAGGGCGGCTGTATGAGGCAGGCACGGAGCGGGGCCGTCGCACCCTGAGCCAGGCGAGGCTACCGGTGCGGGTCGCTGCCGCCACCACCACTACAACCACTACGGACCCCTTTACAGCCGCGCCGCCCCGGGAGCACCGCTCGGGGCTGTATTTATGCCGGAGCCCCCGGCGGGCCGGGGCGGGGCGCGGCGGGGCGGGGAGGGGGCCGCGGCTGACGGAGCCCCCGGAGCCTCGGCCCCCTGCGGGGTGGGGAGGGGGAGCCGCGCGCGGCGGCACGGCTCGGGCCGAGCGGCCCGCGGTTGCCGGAGTCCCGCGCCTCGCCCGGCGGGACGGCCGGGGCCGCGCGGTAACCGAGGGGGCGTCCGCGACGGAGCCGGGGCGGCGGGGCGAGAGCGGCGGCGGGGTCGGGGCTGCGGCGCGGCGCGGCCGCCTGCAGGGGGGAGTAGCGGCTCGCGGCCGTCGGCGGAGCTCGGCGAAGCGGAGGGAAGGGGAGCGAACCGCCCCGTCGGAGCTGCGGGAAAAGGCTCCGGGCCCGTCCGGCGGCTCGCGGAGCCCTGCGCCCTTCGCCCCGCAGCGAGGCGCCGGGGCTGCTGCCGCGTGCCTTCCGTCGGCGGCCGGGCGCGAGACGCCGGGCGGGAGCTGTTCTGTCAGAACCGCAGTGCAGCGCCCGCAGGACGGGCCCCGGAGCCGCGAGGTGTCGGGCGGGGCTCGGGCGCGGCTATCGGAGCTCGGGCTGAGGCGCGGGGCTGAGCGGGAGGGCGAGCCTTGTACGAGCGCGCTGCGGGCACGGCGACTGCGGGAAGCGCGTGGCTCCTCAGCTGAGCCTGCGGCCGTGTCTCTGCAGTGACACACCTGAGTTACAGTAAGTGACTCTTTGCGCCTCGGCTCACGTGTGTACATCTGCGTTTCAGGTTTCTCTTTGAGCTCGAGACTCAGCTTACCTTAATTCCAAAGCCGTTGAAGAGATTGACGTCGCGTCGTGAGTAGTGTTGTGCTGCACGTGTAACGGTGCTGCAGCCCTATTGCTTGTGCAATACGGGTGTGTTGCTTTGGGCCGATAGCCATGGCAGTCGGGGATGTGGAAGAGCAGGACGGCTTTGGTAATGTCTCTTAAGGCTGCCGGAGTCTGGGTTTGGAATATCACTTAAGCTGGGAAGTTTGGGTCTTTCTCCAATACAGAAGTACTGCAGCAGTTCAGCTGTGTGATTTCATTAACTTTATGATTCAGGGAGTTATGGATTCCACGGGCTAAAATTAGCCTCCATTCTGCAGTTATAAGTGCTGGTGACATTCCTACTCCTTTAAAATCAAAGGCAAAGCTCCCCCTGCAGCAAAGCTGAGAGCATCTCAGAAGGTGACAGAGCATCAGTTGGCGGTCGGGCCCGTGGTCCCCACGCCTGTGGCAGCTCAGATGGGCTGTCACTATGCTGGGTTCTTCTGCTGTTCTATCATTCAATTTTTTGCAAAAATTCCCAATCTGCAGCCCTCATTTTCTACTTACTTACGTGTTTTGAAGTACAGAGATAAGAATTGTTAGTCACATTCTGTCATTACCCCAAAGATCAATTTTTTTTTTTAAAGTAGATGTTTTGGACTCTGTACAAGTTTGTTCTTTCACTGTATCCAGTGCTGAAAAACAATCCACCCCAAGGAGAGCAGCTATTAATCAGCCCTACACATGCAGAAGTGTATCTCCCAGCTGTTCTGAGGCAGAGCAGCAAGCTCATGAAAACACTCCACTGTTATTGTAGAGGCTCTTTGATACGGAAGGAGAGAACAGAATGTTTGTTTTAACCTTTACAGAACAGCTAAAGTAAAAATAATTTGTATTCAAAACAATGTTTTGTATACAGTAAGACAAAACAAGTAAAAATGATAAATAGTTGTATGGTTTAACAGCTGTGCATTGGTTGTCAAGCATTGGTGCTGGCCTTGCTGATCCACTCAAAACACGGAAACTTTCCTCAGGTCATTGGTTTAATTTGTGGAAATGCTAATTTTGCTAATATTTACCTAAAGCTACAGCATAATCTGTCACTGTGAGTGTGCATCTAGGTTGTATCTGACCCCAGGACACCAGGAAAAGGCATTTGAGGACTGGCACGCGTAGTGGTTAATTTGGGCAGAGTGGTAACAGATGGTGAGATTTGGACAGGCAATACTGAGAGACTGCCAGTAATTGCCTATGAATGCTCGTAAGTGCATGAGCTCACCTAAGTGGAAAAGTCAGGAGAAAGCCATGACCAGCTGGTGAATTCTGCTCAGAATTGTCTTGCAGTGAAGCTGCCCTTGAGCAGCTTCAACCTGCTTTAACGGGTTAGACTAGATCATCTCCCCTGGCCTTCTGGCCTCTATGATTCTGTGAGGATGCATTGGTGCCTGCTGCTGGCACCAAAAGTCCAATTATCTTTCTAATATTTTGCCCAAGGATAGGTTTGTTCAAAAAGATGTTGTGGGCCAGAAACAAGCAAAGAACAGTATTCCAAGATGCTCTTCTCAATGTTGTGCAGCCAGAGTGCAGAAGAGGAAGGATATGCCATGATCTTCACCAAGAGACTTGAAGTGAATTCCACACTCTGGTTGCAGACAGCAGCAAGCTCCCTTTCCCTACAACCACAGGAATTTCTTATGGCAGCATTTGGAAATACACCGCTTTTGATTCCTGTTTGGAAGCCTCTGTTGCTGTAACTCATAATTTTAAGCAAAGAATAGGTCTCTTCAGAGCTTCCAGTTTGAATGCTATATTTACTGCAGTGATGCTTCTGTGGCTATACTGGATTATTTGGGCTTTGCTTTGCAAGAACAGATACAGAGTGCATGTATGACTGAGTGTTCAACAGAGGAAGAGTATCTGTACAGCTGCTCTAAATGCTGTTGACCTTATACCTGTTTTACTCTGACCCTTCATCTCATTTTCACAGGGCATGGTTGAAACAAAGCTGAGAAAAGAGTGGCAGGTTGTACTTCCTGCACTGCGAAGCATGGAGAGGATCATCCTGTACATAGCAGACAGGTACTGATGACAAAGAGATCACAGGCACATGTGCCTCACAGCCTTGTCACATGAACAAGAAAAGCTTTGGTTATCTACGGTACCTGATTTTTTCTTTTTCAGAAGATACACTGGGAAAACAGCTGACTGTGAGATTACCTAAAAAGAATTGTCTCTTTGGGCAGAATCTGGAAGGTATTTCAGAAGAGAAAGGCCTAAAATCTGAAAGAGTACTGGCATGTTTGGCTACAAAGATAATGAGAGAAGAGCCTCTGAGAAGCACGACCGACAATATTTCAGGGAAGAAGCAGCAGCAAGTAAGTCTCACATTGAAAAGTTTAAGTGTTGGGCTCCTTGTTCTGTTGGAATTCATTTAAGATCTTCAGTACTTGAAACTGATGCCCGTATTGTAGGTTAACAACTCTTAAAGGAGACCGCTGTATATCAAACGTTGCCTACTAGCCATGGAGTTTATAACTCAACTAGCAGTTTTGGTCTGTTCATACTTAGTGAGCTATGTATTAATACTGAGAAGGACGAATTCCATTGCTCTTATTCATGTTGAGTTGCAGTCAGTGGAACTAATTGTTGAATAAGGTATGCTCAGCGTGAGGGTGGGTTTTGGAATCTAGCCCAGATGGAAATATCTGCTGAACTACTACTGTGTTTGAGAGCAGCCACCCCAAACAGATGAATCCAGCATGTTGCTAAAAGCATTTCAAACCATTCTTGTGGCACAACGCAGTATTTTTACTGGAGAATATAGGAGATGTTTTAAATTTTCCCAACTAAAAGAAGAAAAAAAAAGTTGAGTCATTGTACTAGAAAGATGAGGAAAGCATCAATGCTGTAATCATCTGTCTTGTGTTGCAACACTAACAGAAATTAAGTGGTCTACACAGCTTTACAGCAATGGGTACTTAACTGCAGCTGTGTAAGGGAGTCAAAGCATTTACTGGGAGTGTTTCATTGTGCTTTTTTTTCACCTTACTACAGTCTTGTAGCATTTATTTTCATTCTGTGGTCTATTGCTTTCATCTTTAAATTCATCCGTGCAACCTTCTCAATCACAGTTACTGGTGTTGTTTCATGTACGTATGCAAAATCTCTTGGAAAGTACTGTCATGCTTATAATATAAAATGAGGAATACAATGCAAATGCAAAGTACCATTTTTTAATATGGAACTGAATTTATTGTCAAACATTATAGGAACATTGTTTGCAGCATTACATAAAACTAAGAATCTTTCAAGGAAGCAAACCCCAAATGCATAAAATGTGGCATATAAAAAAAAAAACAAAACAATTCACAACCTAGCTGCAAACAGCTGATCTAGCCAGCTGCTCTTCCTAGGTGACCGTGGTAGCCAGTATAGTGAAAGAGAGGCACTCCTGTAGGAGGTGAATGGAAGGAATTTAGAATCACAGAATATCCAGGGTTGGTAAAGATCCATGAGGATCATCGAGTCCAACTCCTGACTCCACACAGGACAATGTAAGAGTTAAGCCATGTGCTTAAGAGCATTGGTCTTATTCCTGCTGTGGAGGAAGTATTTGCATCCTTCATCTTGGAGAAGTATACAACTATAGAAACAGCTGGGTTGTAAGTAAATTAATTGGACTACTTATTTTAACTGCTACTATGATAGAAATAAGCAAATAAAACCTTGCCTTAAAGCAAGTCTTTTAAAAAGTCCATTACATTGTGTTAGTATGCTAATATAAAATTGCTAATATAAAATCTGATAATATAAAACTAAATCTTTGAGTTTCCTCCCATATAGACATTTCTTTTTACTAAAGTTTTTTTTTTTTGTTGTTGTTGTTTTTAATAAAAGTTGTATATACTGCTAACATAATTTGCATTAGCTAACCCTATTAAGACAGAAGAGGCCTAGAAGCTTTTGGTTTCTAGGAAGAATTGCATAGGTAAAAATACAATGAATGCTTATCAATTTCGGTAACTAGCAACCTTGCTGTCATTTAAACAAGACAATGGAATGGGCTGGATTTTGAGCTGTGGCTCAAATGAGAACAAGGGACAGGGTGTAAAGAGGGGGAAGTGAAAAAGCATCGAGTCCCCCGAGTTCTAGTCTCCAGGCCACTCTTCTCTGTGCAGGTCTGCCTTCAGAGCTGGACCACAACGATAAGAGCTACAGCATTAAAGTACCTCCCTCCCGTTTCATTTTTGCCCCCATCCCATCGCTATTACACTGTGGCAGTGTGGCAGTGCAGTGTATGGTTGCATATATTGGCCCTATGCTGTTCCTGTGCTGGGAAAATTCTTTCTGCGGTCGCTTCAGACCCTCTGAAGCTCCTGCACACTGCTGGAGAGGCGGACAGGGGCTGCACTGCTGACTAGACTCTGGCTCTATGCCTGTTCTGAACTCTTTCTGCAACCGGTCCATAAAGAAATCCCCAAGACTATTTCTGCCATCTTGGGAACAATCAAGCCTGCGAGCATTGGTCAGGAGATCTCCCATCATCTTGATCTTCTGGATTTTGGGCCCAATAAATTGTTTCTTGATAGTGCTTGCACTATGAGGGTCTTCATTTTCAATGCTTAGGGCATAAAGCTCTTCAAAGTATCGCGTCAGAGTTTTCCACTGCATCATAGCTAGTTCCAGAGCTTTCACCAAACCAACAGCATAGTCATAATTTGGTTTCTAGAAACAAAGACAGAATTACATTTATTTAGAAGAACAGCTCATCTTTCCATACTCACTGTTTCCCTGCAGCTTCCTATCAAGAAGTCACATTAGGATTTAAAACTCCTAGTCTGGAGCATTTCTTTTTAGGATTTTATAACTCCTAGAAAATTAAACCTGGAAATCTAAGGGGATGAATGCAGAGATCTGAAGTACCAACAATATAATGCAAGAAATTAGAGTAACTACTGCTTATTGCAAGTGCTTGAAAGCTCATTCCTTGCTACACACCTGGATGGTTTTAGAACAGTAATGGCCTCCTCTTTCTTGCTGATACTTCATCAAAGCTTCTGCGGCTTTTATCTCTTCCAGAGCTTGATGCAGGAAGAACTTCGAAACATTTGGTAGAGCCACGTGTGACTGATCAAAATATTCACCCTAAAAAAAAAAAAAAACAAACAAAAACAAAAAAAAAAACCCCACACCACACAGATGGTTAAGATTTGCTAGAATCCGGGAGATTTTTCCAATGGGACTTTATCTACCCACAATCACTTTGAAGACCTTCATCCGAATTTCTACAATACAGTAAGTTTGGTGTCTTTACTAAAAAGTCTGTTTACTTCTATTACAAATCCCTCTGGCTTTTAATTCTAGAGAGGTAACTGTAATACTGATATAGTACTGTTGTTTGTCTCCAATACTGATGTTCTTTCTTGTTGGCAGAGATCCTTGGAATACAAATAAATTTCAAGGCATAATCCCAGAACAGGGAACATAGGTGAAAAATAAGCTTTCAAAACTATTAAGATGAGGCAAGTGCAAAAGAGAACAAGCACAGTTTTGCATCTTCAACTAGTTCCAACACCCCTTGCCATAGGCAGGGCTGCCTCCACAAGCTTAGACTTCCCGGGACCCCATCCAACCTTGAATGCCTCCAGGAATGGGGCATCTGTGGCTAGCCTGGGCAGCCTGTGCCAGGCCCACACCACCTCCGAAGCTTCTTCCTAGCACCTAGCCTAATTTTCCCCTCTTTTGGTTTAAAGCCACACCTCCTTGTTCTACCACTACCAAACTGTGTAAAAAGCCAGTCCTCTCTCTCTGTATGTTCCCTTCAAGTACTGTAAAGCTGCAACAAGGTCTCCCCAGAGGCTTCTCTTCTCCAAGCTGAATAAGCCCAACTCCGTCAGCCTTTCTTCATAGGAGAGGGGCTTCAGTGGAACTGAGGGAATTACAATGTTGTGATCTACTAGTTCCCTAAGCATGCATATGCAGTACAGCACAGCTTTTGCCTCTTGGATGGGCTCTGGACTGGAGCTCTGTTATATGCTTATAGTCTAGGAGGGATACAGGACAAATGCGTGCCCTAATTCTGGAGGCACACCAGGCCAGCTGGATGGGGCTCTGGGCAGCCTGAGCTGGCAGGGGGCAGCCCTGCCCATGGCAGGGAGTTGGGGCTGGGTGGGCTCCCATTTAAGCCATTCTGTGCTTCTATGATTTCATAGGTTTTTCTGCTTCTTCCTGTCCTGCTCGCCTTGTTCTGTTGCTGTGTGTAAATACAAAGTAAATGCTTCATCTGTGTTGTTCATCTCTTTAAAAAAACTTGCAGAAAAGTTATGCGTGCAAGACAGTGTTTTGTTACTGTGATAACCAGCTGGGATGCCCCAACCTGTGCATGGCAATAAAGCTTCTGAGAGCAGGGCCACGCTGGAATGCTGCATTAACAACCCCCGTTGCGGTAACGAGCCTTGTCCTGCGCTCATTTTCACCTTGCTGTTCACAGAAGCAACGAGATTCCATATTTTGCAGCCACAGAAGGAAAGTTACCATGCCTGCTTAACCGCTCAGGTAAATATTTTATGTACATAATTAACTACTTATAGGATGTTAACGTTTTCAAGTTTTTTTTTATTTAATTTATCCACCGTCTGTTCTTAACTGAGCAGCACCCACCCCACGCCCCTACCAGCCACCAGGGTCACCCACCGCCCGGCTCTCCCGCCGCCTTACCAGCGCCTGCAGGCTGTAGGCGAGCTCCAGCAGGGCGCCGGTCACACCGCACAGGCCCTCCTCCACGGCAGCCGGGAAGTTCTGCCTCACGCGGCTGCCGGGCACCGGGCGGTGCACCGGGCAGGCGGGCAGCGTGAAGCGGGGCCGCTTGGAGCGCGGCTCGGCCATAGTGGGCGCCGCCATGGGGCAGCCGCGCCGCCGCGCCGCCCCGGCTGATATAGCGGCGGGCACCTGGGCCGCACCTCGCCTCCGCCCGCCTCCCGCCCGACCGGGGGAGGAGGGAGCCGCGGCGCCGCCGCCATTTCCTGTGTGCCCGTGGGCGGCGCGCCCTGAGTCTTGCAGGGTCACGTCAGGTGCGTTAGCGGCGCTGCTCTGTTTGCACGGTGGCCCCAAAGCTAGGCTCTTTCAGCCGCCATGTCACGGAGGTGCAGCTCCGCGTGCTGTTCTTTGAGCGTTTGCTTTCAACGCATAGAAGCCGCTGGAGTGGAAATGTGGCCCAACGCCCTGCAGATGGGATAACTTTCACGTGGGATCTTGTGCTGAGTCAGCTCAACCATGCGTGCCGCTTTGTGCGATGTATTCTAGCGGCTCGTTCTGCTCCCTCGCAGACCTGTTCTGAGGATTAAGGGCAGCCATGTTAGCCTGTTCCACGCTGTAATTGTAATTGGGTTCGACTGCCTGAGAGCTGGTGGTACGGGTGTGAGAGCTGCTCTGCAGAAACCTGCCTATTTCCACTTTGGTGCCTCCATCTTCCCTCCATCTTCTGCAGTACTCTGCCCTCGTTGTTTAATGTAACTAATCATATTTTAGTGCTTAGAATCACAGAATGGCTTGGGTTGGTGGGGATCTTAAAGCCCACCCAGATTGGACAGCTATGGATTTGATGGGTGGACTGTTTAATGGACAAGGAACTGGCTGTGACATTGTACCTGGAGAGTGGTGGTCAATGGTTCACTGTCCAGGTGGAGATCAATGACGAGTGCCAGTGCCTCAGGTCAGTGCTGTGGCCATTGCTGTTCTTCAGCAATGACATCAACAGTGGGATTGAGTGCTCTCAGAAAGTTAGCGGATGACACTAAGCTTTGTGGTTCTGTGGTTCAGTGGACATGCCTAAGGGATGGGTGCTGTTCAGGAGAACCTAGACAGGCTCAAGCAGTGGGCCCAGGCGTGAACCTCATGAGGTTCAACAAAGCCAAAGACAAAGTCTTGGCTTTGGACATGGTCGTGCTGGTGGACAGCAAGCTGGATGTGAGCCAACAGTGTGGCCTTGCAGTGCAGAAAGCCAACTGTATTCTGGGCTGCATCAAAAAGAGCGTGGTCAGAAAGGCAAAGGAGGTGATCCTGCCCCTCTACTATGCGCTGGTGAGACCTCACCTGGAATACTGCATCCAGATGTGGAGTCCTCAGTACAGGAGAGATATGGACCTCTTAGAGCGTGTCCAGAGGAGGGCCACAAAAATGATCCAAGAGGTGGAACACCTCTATAAGGTTCCCTAAGAGGACAGGCTGAGAGAGATGGGGCTGTTCAGCCTGGAGAAGAGGCTCATGGGGATCTCCTCCTGTGGATACCTTCAGGAGATACCTGGGGAGACTTGAGAGCAACCTTTTAGTGTCTAAAGGAGGTCTGTAAGAAAGAAGAGGAACAGACTCTTTAGCAGCATCTGTTGTGATAAGACAAGGGGAAATGGTTTCAAGCTAGAAGAGAGGAGATTTAGACTGGTATTTAGGTAGGGTATTGAGACACTGGAATAGGTTGCCCCAAGGGCTGTTGGATGCCCTGCCCCTGGAGACATTGAAGGTCAGGCTAGGTGGGGCTCTGAGCTGTAGGTGTCCCTATTCATTGCAGGGAAGTTGAATTAGATGGCCTTTAAGGGTCCTTTCCAACTCAAGTGATTCTATGATTCTATAATATCAAGTGTGAAATCAGAATTAAAAGCCAATTAGTACCTCTGGAGAAACTTGTAGTTTATTTTGTTTGGTGGGCCTTTAATGTTCAATTTCTGAGCATAGTAGACTTGATCGCATGCTGTCTTTTGGAAGTTCGTATCTTAAGTTATCGCATGGCAGTGACACAAAGACATTTTTAAGGCCATATAGGAAGCATGGGCCTGCTCTGACTCACTCCAGAATTCCTTAATTCCAGTTATTCCTTAACTCCTTTTTTTTTTTTTTTTTCATGGGAACACCGTTTGGTTTGTTTTCCATTCTGCATCAAACTGAAGGAAACACATGCCATTTCTACTGCAATTGTATTTGTTATGGAGAAAATCCATACAATGTAACATAGGGGTTCTTGCTACACAGGGTGAGATGGTGTCACTGATAGTATCTGGATGGTGGACAATACCATCTGTTCCAAAGACATGTGATCTCAAATCTTGGTTTTTAAGTAATGCTGTATTCTAGGAGACAAATGCTTTGTTCAATTTCTTAGTTAGTTACAACATTGCAGCATGGTCTTTAATAAGGGCAACTGTCTGCTATCAGGTGGGGGCTTTTAAGGTAGAGGAACTGCTGGTCAATTGCACTAACCATGAGGGGAAGGCTTCAGGTATTTCTTTCAAACTCTATGCTTTAGAAAAGTTATTAGTCACTTGAGACAAGTGTCCATATGTTACTTTCGTACAAGTGAATCAGCTTCAGAACTTTATTCCCACGTGTCCTGAAGTATGAAGATGCCATACAAGAATCCTGAACGAACAGACACCGACGGTGTGGTGGGGATGGATGCTGAGGGAGAGAAGAGCAGATAGTTCTGTGCAAGCCATTGCACACAAGGACTCTGTAAACAGGACTGGTGACAAGACTGGCCCTCCTTATCCCCAAAATCCAGGATTATTTAAATGTGTTACGTTAGGCACATGCCTCAGTTTATTTCTATGATTTGGGATGATATTGACACAGCACATTTTAAAGCGCTCAAAGTGGTATGCCAGAGTGGGAGCCCAAGCAACCACAGCATGGTATGCAGGAGTGCAGTTCCTGTTCCAGAAAAAGAAGCTCTCGTACAACACACCCCTCCTGTGAATTTGTTGGCTGAGAGTAGCAGAGAAGACAGAGTTATTGTCAAAAGGCTTCAGCAGTCACCTGAAAATATTTTTCTGCTGAGAGTGCTTTGCAAATATTTAATTGTATCTGGCTGCTTTCTGCCTTGATTCTCTGTCATTTGAAGTTGTACTTTGGAGATCGCATTGTGTGTTCTGTAACCACAGGTAGCAAAAATTGTGGCTGTTGCTTCTGTCCAGCCACCATCTGTTAGCTGCTTTATAGCTGTGTGCTTTGTAAGTGATCTATCAAATGCCACCAAATATTTTTCATATGTGATCATTCTGTGCCCATCAATAGCAATAATGAAGATTGAAGGCTACATGAACAAAAAGCTGTAAATAAATGTGTGATATGTATGCCTGTAAATTAGCCTTCTTCATTCATAATTTTATTTCATAATTAAGTGAAACCTAAGCTCTCTGGCAGGAAATGGAGAATGATTCATATGAGCACCCGTGAATTCATAATCTCTTCTATTGGACATGAAGTCACTTTACCCATTTATCCATATGCTTTGCTACGCTCAACAGGTGCTTCATTTCACTGTTTTGTCTGATCCCACTCTGTTTTATTTCCCGTTTTCCATGGAAGAAAAGCCAGCAAGACTTCTGAGTTCTTTGCTTTTTTGTTCTGTATGACTCATAGAGTTAAAAAAGCAGCCTGAAATCTGGGCTTTCTTAAAAATGGTCTTACAGTCATCAACAAAACGTGGGGTGGCCCTGGGATGACTGTAGCCCTGTGACTGAGCTGTGAGTTGGTCATTCTGGGATATATTTTCTACTTTTGTGTCTCCGAGCAAATGTGAAGTGTTCAGAAAGGTCCGCTTTGCTGTAATGGTGTGAAATCAGTATGCTTTAGCAATACAAGGTAAGAGCTTCTCAAAAGTACAAGCTAGAATGTAGTTTCTCTGAAGTATCTTGTCCTTGATGTCAAACAGAGCAGACAGGAGCCTATTTTGGGGGCTCGTATGTGCTGGACATTACTGTGTGACTGTGCAGTATCTACTATTTATGTATACCACTTACTAAGGCCAGATATCACACTGAAATCCTGTATGCAACTATTTGGATTCATTTTGAAGTCATTTTTTAAGTGTATTTTTCTGGAGCTTGCCTCAAATACTCCAAAGCTTTGTTTTTGTTGCTTTCCTTTTCTAGAGAATTTTCTTCCGTTTTCTTCTGTTCACCGATGCTTTTTCATATGCAAACCATATTGCAGTGCTAGAAGTCAGCTGAGGTGTGCAAGCATGTTTTTCAGTTGTCATGGAATGTCTTGCTGACCATCATCTAGTTTTCCCACTTGGCAACAGTAGCAGAATAAAATTGTGACACTGTTTGCAGCTGTTATGTAAGCTTTATCTTGGTTAGTTTTGTTCCATGGTTTTCTTTTTACTTAAGCCTGCATCACGTGGGTATGGAGAATTTGGCTGATCCATCTTTCTTCTTCTGCAATGAAGTTCTTTTGTAAAGAACTTTCAAACACTGGATAATTGAAACCACTGTGTTATTTAGAGAAATCTTTGCTGATTAAAATTGTCCTTATCTTTAACCTTGTGTATTGGAGCAGGTCTAGAAGGGCTTCCTAATTCATGCAGCTTCCTCTTTGCGGTACCTAAGTGAGGCTCTCTGTAATTAATGCTGTCTTTTCCCTTCCTGCATAAGAGTGTACTTCAGGTAGCCTGGAGCGGAGATGAGGCAGCCCTAGCTTGTCTCTGGCAGGCTAAGCACGGGCCTTGTTGGAACCTCTGTGACTGTGCATGCTCATAGGCTCCTTAATGCTGGCTTCTCTGGTAAAACTGCACTGCGGACACTACTGATTTGTGGCCACCAGCTGTATAGCTCCAGTTTCTCTTAAGCACATGTTGCTCTTTCCAAAGTAGAGTTACTTTTTGGCAATTTACCTACACCAAGTTTCATCTCCAGTCACTCCTCCTCTGAGATACGGCAATTGTTATTTCAAGTTATATTTTAAAAAGCATTGGACAGCAAACTTGAGGCTTGTGAGTGCGATCTGTCCATGGTACATTGTAATTCCAGTCACTTTTTGGAGGATGGAGCTACTGGGTCTTAGAGCTGGAGCAAGTATAAAGGGATTCTGAGGAATTTCTAAAAACATGTGGTGTGCCCCAGGCAATGCATTACATAAGGGGTTTGTGCAATCCCCAACTGCCTGGAGTCTCTCACGGTTTGTAGCCCTTCCCCTTCTTGTTCTGCTTTTCTTTGCACAGATACGAATAAGAATCTGTGCTTGTTTTCAGACAAATGAGAAAATAAGACTTGACGTTTTGGAAGAGGCACTGCCCTTTTCTGGTACAGTTTGTGCCACTGAAGTCAGTGACTGCAGGTAATGCCTTCCAGGCAGTGTGAACTCTAGTAGGTGCACTCTATGCTCAGCAGCCCTTGAAAGAGCATCAGACATCTTTGAGATGAGCATGAGCAGATGCACTCTGTACTTGTTCACAGAGTTTGAGACTGCAGTAATATTTGCCAGTAGTAAACAACATCTTCTGATGAAAGTCCAGGAACCCTTTATTGTCTTGCTGCTCTATGTCACTGACAATCAATGTTCATAGAGTTCCTGCTGGTACCAAGAGCACCTGCTTCCAAAATGCAGGTACTCCAGGGAGTTGAATGGTTTGACTGATGCCCTTTACTGTTTGGCTAAAGAGGAAAGGCATTGAGGCCACAGTTGTGGAGAGAGGTGTGCAAGATGTTGCAGGTGAAGGGGAAATTGTTCCAAGTGTTTTTGGTTTTGCATTCACCAAAAAGTTGAGAGCGAGCCATATTCACAGTTTTTATTTGAGGAAAAGCCTTCTGAAAGTTTCTATGAAGCTGAGCTTCTTTTTTTTCTTTCTTTCTTTTTTAACTTTAAAGTGTACTTTCATCAGGTAAATGTTTTAAATTTGGGATTCATATGGGTTTGTATCAGAGCAGCCCTGTGGAGAGAGACTTGGGGGTCTTGATGGACAGAAAGCTGGATGTGAGCCAGCACTGTACTCATGCAGCCTGGAAGGCCAACCTGAGCTGCATCAATGGAGGGGTGGCAGCAGCAAGAGGGAGAGGATTGTCCCCCTCTATTCTGACCTTGTGAGGCCCCATCTGACCTCACATTCAGGCCTGGAGGCCGCAGCACAAGAAAGATATGGAGCTGTTGGAGTGTGTTCAGAGAAGGGTCACAAAGCTGATCAAAGGGCTGGAGCACCTCTGCTGTGAAAATTTAAGCTGAGGGCTTGTTCAGCTTGGAGAAGAGAATGCTCCGGGGGCACCTCATTGCTGCCTTCCAGTACATGAAAGGAGCATACAAGCAGAAGGGGAACCAGCTTTTTACATGGTCTGATAGTGACAGGACAAGGTGGAATGGCTTAAAACTAAAGAGATGAGATTTAGGTTAGACATTAGGAATATGTTTTTTGCTCAAAGTGGTGAGGCCCTGGCACAGCTGTGGATACCCCATCCCTGGAGGTATACAAGGTCAGGCTGGATGGGGCCCTGGGCAGCCTGAGCTGGTGGGGGGCAGCCCTGCCCACAGCAGGGGGGGTTGGAGCTAGATGATCTTTAGGGTCCCTTCCATCCCAAGCCATTCTATGATTTTATGATTTAGTGGAGGTGAGTCAGACAAAACAGAAGTGGATAACTTCCTTCAAACATCTGACCTTAAAGACTGTGCTAAACTCCAGTGAAGTGAAGGTGTAGATCATTAGGATATTTATTTCCCTATCACATTTTGCTTAATTTTAATGATTTTCAATATATTATAAGGTTCTTACAGTGATAGGTGTTAGATTGTTGTCTGTTTGTGGCAAATCCTTCTGTGCAGCTCAGGCAGATTGATTTTGATTTCATTATCTTTGTGCAGAGGACCTGTTGATTTGGGCGTTAGCCTGATTTCCTCGTAATTATGAGATATAACATAGGGTGGATCTGGCTCATCTCACTTAAGGCAGCCAGCAACATTAACTGGTAACTCTTGGAAAGTTACTCTGGTCTGTAGGACTCTGTGGCATTGCCCACAGCGATGCGCTCAAGGGCTTTCCTTCTTGATTTTTAAACCACTAGCTCCCATTGCTATCGTTTGTGTAATTCAGAAATTACTGTGCTGAGCATTTAACGCTCTCACAGAACGGTTTGTTCTCCGCTTGAAATCCCACATACCAAGCGTCTGCCTGAGGCAAAGACAAAAATCTTAGCTTTGATACTCCAAAATGGGCTGCGTAAATCCCGTGCAGCTGGTCTGCGTAAAATGTACCCAGTGACAGCACGCCACGGAGAGGATTGCAAGGGTCCCTCTTTCTGGGTCTCTCGGATGCTGGTAGGGTCTTACTGCTTGTGCTGTGCAAGGCAGTGACAGAGCGGTATCAGAGTGCTCAGTGTTCAGGGTGCGATCACATGCAGCTCCCTCAGGCATATGTGTGGACAAAACAGATGCATAACTGGGCCACGTTGCCTTCTTTTGTATATTTAGATATGCTTTGATATTTTCCAACTTTGGAGCTGCGGTTAAAGCCTCAAAGGGAATCCAGGAGTCCACAGCAGCTGAGCCTATGTTTCTAGCACAGGGCGTTCCTGCCATGCTGTGAGTGTGGTGAGCAAATGGTGTCAGTGATCATGAACTGCAGTGTTTGTCAACTCAGATTCTCTGAGTCTTATTTAAATGTGAAAGCCAACACAGTAGCACTGACACTTGTGCGTATTTGTGGTGAGGTCAATGACTGTTTGGATTTGAGATTGTTTTTTCTGCCTGTGCCATTCTGGCCACCAGCTCTGCTCCTTGAACTGACTCTACTTTGCTTCTTTCTGTAATATAACCCAGCTGGGACGTGGTCCCAAGTGGAAAGTGACTCAAACCAATCAAACCTCAGAAGGTCACAAATGAAAAGAGATGCAGTTCAGGGAAATAAATGTTAGAATATAAAGTTAGGCAAGTTGTGACCGGTGAATATGAGCAGCTTGTAGCAAGGCCGTGTTTTCCCCTAACAGTGCATTGAAGCACTTTGGAAAGCCTACTTTTGCTCATGTTTTATGGACTGCTCCTGGCAGTGTCCTGCAAGGCCACCTGTGTGAGTCTTGCTCTGTGCTCAGGCTGGAGAGAGCTCCTTGGTTCTCCTGAAACAGGCACTAGGGTCACTGCCAGGAGTGAGACCAAATGTGTGAAACTGTTGTGTAGAGCTCAGTGTGGCAGCACTCAGGAAGGAGAAATCATGGAGGCTTTCATTAACCCAAACCAATCGTAAGGTGCTAAGAGTACAAAAAGAGATTCGTACACGTTGCTTCATAAATCAACTTCTGGCAAAAAAAGATAAGAAGAAAATTTTCTTTGGAGCCAGCTGAGCCAATAACTGCTTCTGGCAGGATTCCTGCATGCTTTCCAGATCATTTTGTCATGGCCATTGATTGAAATAAAACACTGGGCACATGGACCACTGGCCAGAGCAAGTATGTGGCCATTGTTGTGATGCCTGGGCTGACAGACTTCTCTTAAGGGGCTCCGAGGGATTTTGTCTGATGTGTCCCAGAATGGGATTGTCCATGTTTCTGTGGAAGGATGCTCGTGGTCTACAATCTGGGATGCAAACAGGACTGAGGGACACGTCTTGTGAGGCAGCAGT